TGTAAAAAAATAGGTACTTAATTTTTGACAAAATTTCCGTATAAATAAATAAAGCGTGGACACGTTCCAAGTGTTCCTAGTGTGGACGCGTGTGGCGGCGTACTGATACAACACTACGCCGCCGTACGCGTTTGTGTGTGTGTGTGTGTTTATACCAAATCTGTAGGGTGTTCATACGATGCGTAATTAATTACACAACTTTTGGTTAACTTTACTTAGAAGTTTATTAATATTTATGTTATATTAATTTTTATTTTGTCATATATGATCGTCAAATATCATGTCCTCAAATATCGATAGTAATTCACCAGTCACCCTGTATAAATATACAAAGATCTGTTTACATTTAATTGTATGTCTCTCATCATTCCACTTAACATACATAAAAATATAACAATAATATGGAGATTATATCATCTAAGTAACGTATATAATGTGTGTTTGTGTGTGTGAGTATCAAAGCTCAAATAAAAATCAGAACAGTATTAATCGTTTATTAAATACGATTTATACTACGAAGCCTCCATTTCACCAATAACAAAACATCTTTACGAAATTACTTCAAACTGAAACATTTCCTTTATAATAGGAAGCGAAAGGAAAATACCGAGTAAAACATTCATCAACATTTTAAATCCCTTAAAAGGTATGTTGTGACGTCACCGCTAATAGACGCTTCTGGCAAGTCAAAGTTTACACGCGTGACGATGTACCCACTGTTTATTCATGATGACACTAGCACGCAGATATTAGCGTCACTAGGGAAACGATCAAAAAACGTACCGAACATAGCCGTGGGAAAAAAAATATAACTATTGTGAAATACTTTGACGTCCGTCGGCCGGTTCAAAGTATCACAGATAATGGATATATTTTTATGAATGGCGTGAAAGTGGGTCGGGCTGAATTATTTATATTTAAAAAAAAATCCCCGTATTACGTCATCATATTATCAGTAATTTTCTCGTTGTACAAAGCGTATTTCAAATTAGTTTAAATGAGACTGAGTCAACTGTTCGATATCGGCTACATTACACGGACGAATGAATTTCGGCTGTAGTTATGATAACGAGGCGCCTCCTATACCAGGCCTCACCGACCGGCCGCGGCACAAACAAACAACACGACGGATTATGAGACGCATCGTGATAACTATCGACACTTAATAACATAACTATATAAAAATACTTATTTTTTTATTACCGACACTTAAAAGAGCAACGGTCGTTTAGTATTCAGCCAACATCCGGGCTATAGGACCTCCTTCATCACCACGCTTTACATGATTTCATTGAATAAATACATTGACATTTATTAAAGGTAATTTTTATGATGTAACAACCTGATTTTTATAATAATCAACGTGTTTTCAATAATAATTTTAAAGGTAAAGATTCTACATTAATTCCTGAGAGACAATTCGTTAATCAAGGCCATAACTAAACCGTTGAAAGTTAGCGTCAAAATTTATCAGCCACAGACACTCGTACATATATTTATAACATTAATTAGCCGTGAAAATAATTAAACTTTTTTTATATAGCAGACAGAATATAAATATTATTCATATAGTACTATGAATATGAACAAATTGTATATATTAAAAATATTAATTAAAATGAAAAATCAAGTAGGTAAGCGAAATCTCGGAATCAATAAATATGTGTGTGTGTGTGTGTGTATATGTATATGTGTGCTATGAATATATCCCATACAAAAACAAGACTCGTTTTTATAAGCAGCGATAACATATTTGTATTCAAATTACCCAATCATATTGTTGTTTTGTCCGAATCCTAATGACACGTGAACGTAATGCGGGTGACTTACGAGTAGCTTCACGAATCGCTGTCTGAATTCTCTTTGGCACTTTCAAACCACATATTCATACATTTTTAGGGAAAAATATATTATAAATATATGTATAGTCTTAGTGCTGACTTTTTATAGGAAAAAAACTATTTGTCTATGCACGTCAATGTAAAAAAAAATTGAAGTATAAATTAATTGTAATACCTATTTGATACGCTGAGCTACTTACGTTTTACCTCAAAGTAAATGTATGTTAAAAATATTTTTACAAGGGCAACACTACACTGTTTAGTCGTCCGTGACCGACATCGCGCGATGTCAATATATATAAAAAAAAAAAACAATCCAGTTTAAAATTGGAACGTAAAAAAAATCTATAAAATAGTATGTAAGAATAACATTTATGTGTGGAAGTTTTAAAACAAATCATATTGTGTTGCGTATTTCGACTTTCCAATGTTATTTTCGTTGTAGCGTTGAATGATAGAATTAACATTTCGTAGCCGCTTTTTAAAATTTTTCCAGCGGACACCGGAAGCTACTTGACAAAATTGTCTCGTCTCAAAATGTAATTAGCACTCCCACGCTGTTTTTAATTAAATGAACATTCCAGAACACTGTTTACGTTCCGTTCCTTGTTATTTATAGCTATTAAATAATAATTTTTTTATGATATTTTTATTTTATATCTATAAAAGTATATATTTTATTATATAATTATAAAGCTTTATTGGATATGATGCAGTTTTTAATGTTATTATTATGTCCATTGAAAAATTATACATCTTATTTATAATCTGTTGGAATGCTTTATATTCTATAATGTAATGACTGTACAATTCTCTCACACGTTTTGTCTCACTACCGGAATGTGACTTTAACACGACAATATAAATAATTTATAAATATATAAAAATAAACACTACTCACTTATAATTATTATAGACACAATAAAAAAAAAAAAAAAGAAAATCAGGCTATGCTATATAACGATATAATAGATATAGAATACTTGAACATTAAATTTTAAAAAAAGAACATTGCATAATCTTTGAAGTTTAAAGTTTGTTTTGTAAAGAGGTTTTATATATTTTAATTGTTGCGTATATTATTGGTTGTAATATGTTATATATGTGTGTGTGTGTGTGTGTGTGTGTGTGTGTGTGTGTGTACTCACTGCCGGGGGCTATAGTATCAGCGGCGGAGTGGTCGTGGGCCAGCAGCAGCGCCCACGCCACCACCGGCCACGCGACCCAGCACGGCCGGCGCATCACACCGCTGGCGGACACATGCCCTGATCTGGAACGAACAAACATACACACACATAAATATATATACAGACTATAGTACTAACACTATAGCGAGTATTGATATAAATGAAATCGGATTATATTACGCGTATTATTGTAAAGAACTATGTACATCTTGATCAAGGTTGTTAAAACTTAAAAAGTAACCGAAACGTCAGGAGTATGTATTTTTATAGTAAAATCCGAAAAATATTAGTTTCATTTAAATAATAAATTTTATTAGGTAAACCGTAAAAGACACTTCTTAATCCAATTCGTATAATTTGTCAATTTACGATGATTTATATTATAGGATTATTTATCAAATGAATTACGAAATTGAAGGAAATACGTGACCACGTACTAAAGGGACGTTAGGTGTGTTATAAATAATAAAATTTACATTTAAAATCCAATTCACAGCACCCTACATTTATATTACACGAGGGGTTTATGAATGGAAAAGATAAATAAACGAATTTAAAAAGTAGTGTTAAAGGTAGCCAAGTGGTTACTGTTATGTATGTATGACGATAAAATAATACAAATATATACGTCATAGAAGTTATTATTATGAAAAAATGTAGATAGAATTTGTATTAAATATATTATTTTTATTAAACTTTTGGTTGGATTACGTCATTAAAACAAAATACATGTATTAATTATCGTGGGATAGCATCGGTTCTCATGAAGTCACCGGGCCACGGTCATTGTTAACTATTGCATCCGAAAACGAAAAAATTAGTTATAGAAAGGATTTTAATATAGGAAATTGATAGGAAGACAACGATGAACTGTATAAGATATCGACATAGTAATACATATTTGGTTTGAATAAAACAGTCGCCTACATCCGCATACAATTCCACATTAACAAACATTGACCCGACTTACTGCAAATGCGTGATAGATTCGTCACCAGTACAAACATCTAAACGGAAATCGATGGGTTTTTTCTAATCTAAATAAGACATTTGGAGATACACGTGTTACGAACAAAACCGGAGCATTATATATGTATATTCTCATATTCATATTAGAACCAATACTTGCGATTAATTATGTCCAATCCTTGATAATCCTTTAATGTCGCAGAGCAGCACAGGTCCGTGTACACAGCAGGGTACCGTCCTTTATAATCAGTAGGTATATCTGTATCATAATTCATACGAGTAATGTTTGTACAGGCCGCGGTACGTGTAATGTGTACACGGTGCACGTCACTGTGACGTCACGTCACCCGGCGCCCGGCTGACGGAACGCTAGTATTTATCAAACGAGATTTTTGAAACCTATCTAGATAACGACCTCACTTCCCACTGGCACAGATATTGAGAAATGTTTGTTTGTTTAGAATATTACTGTCATGGGAATTATAAGAAGATCTACATATACATATATGTATAAATTCATTATTATTGTTAAAAAAAACCCGCCAGTCATTCTTATGTGAGTGGAAAAAATATAAATATTTTTGAATATGTATCTAATCTGTAATAAGATAAGGTCGTCTATTTTAACTGATTTACGTAGTTTGATTACGGTTGTGTACAGAAATATATTGCAATGTCAAATTATAAAGAATTAGAAATTTTGTACTGATATAATATAAAAATAAAATATTTGTATTCCCTTCTTCCCATGATTAAATGTTAATGACATTTTATAACCCTTAACCTTTTAAACAGAGATCATTTAATTGGAGTGGGAGTACAACCTGATACCTCATTAAGATGAAAACAAAAGTTTTTAGATTGATATCCTCCGCTAGTGTAATTTAAACATGATTTTTTCTCAACACCAGATAACTACTAGAAGACATCTGCAGTTTCAAATCGAAAACATTACTCTGCATTGATATCCAACACACGTGGATTGCACGCCGTAGTGTAAGCGTCACTTCAAAATTGGTGCGAGGGAGACGCAACACATGATAGTCGGTGTCCAGCCATTAGTGCGAGGGGGACGGAAGACGTGCGTGCAGGGCAGGGTAGGGAAGGGAGGTACCAGTTTCCCGCGCTGCATTCCGTGTTGTTTACGAGGCATAGCGTGGCGGGCACGAGGTTGACGACCGCACACAGCACGCCGCCATATTTTCGGCAATAAATAATAGAAGAGCGCAACGCAGCGCGATCGATCGAGCCGCCAGCCGCGGGCAGTGCGACGGCGCGATGCCTCGGACGAAACATCCCCCTTACCATCGGAACTCATCTCACTAGTCACCAGTCACCGGTGAGTGGTGACTAGTAAACAGTGACCGGTGACCGCCACGCTCACACATCACAGTATCCGGCGGGAACTCGTAGTACGTGACACTAACACAACAACTGTATGCAGATTACAGACATAAACAATGTAAATATAATAGATGCGTTACGTAGCTAGCATTAATAAATGGCGAAACCGTACTTGATAAACGAACACTATAACGACACCACATCGTAAACAACTTAAATTAACTGTTTTTTAAACGATTACTTTGTAATTACAAACCGAGATCTTATACTTTTTATATATTTTTTCAGGTTTACACATAATTATGAAGTTTTTTTCTTACTGTAAGAAGCGTAATTATTTTCAGAACACATTAATTATTATAAGATATATGAAAATATAGATTCTAAACAGATTATTAGGCTATAAACTTTCATGAGAAATTAAAATTTTATGACTCGCCACCTCCAAAACATAAAGTAATACATACATAGTGTCAGTCTTTCTAACGTATACTTACTATTTAGTGAAATAATTTAAATATATTCATAATAATACGAAAATTATTTACATAAATCTAACAAACGTGAAAAAAAACTATCGCGGACATTACTGTGAGTGATTTGAAACTAAGAAACAAAAAAAAAACCATTACAAACGTTTAGAACGCTCATTTTTTGTAACCGACAGACGTTCAGAAACATCTTACAAATAACATTCATAAAACTAATCTCTACTAATATTATAAATGCGAAAGTAACTGTCTGTCTGTCTATTACGCTTTCACGCCTAAACCACTGAACTGATTTTAATGAAATTTGGTATAGACATAGAGTTGACCTTGAGAAAGAAAATAGGATAGTTTTTATCCCAGACTTTTGAATTGTTCTCTTGGAAACGCGATATAACAGAACTCCACGCGGGCGAAGCTGCGGGCGGAAAGCTACATAGTATACTAATAGAAATAGGTAAAGGTTTTATATCATACGGTTATATAGTTCAATATATAAAAAAAGTTTCAACATGTAACTTAAACCTCCTTTGACAAAATTGATAATAAATTATTAGAATGCATTTAAAATAAATCCGTACACATTTTAAACATAATAAAATGTATAGAGTATTTTCACGGTAGCTGACATTATTTATATACATATGTAGATATATATTTTTTTATAAAACTTTACGGTGCATAAAATCTTATCGCTGTAACTATGCAGGTTGTACATTATAATGCTTTATCAGCCGAGATACAAGGAGTTTGTATGTGCTGTTAATGTTTTATATACACGTACTTGAGACTTGATCAAGTATACTAAATAAGTTATTAATGCGAAAGGATCTGACATATTAAATATATACATATATATTATGACGAATATTAATATATTGAGAATATTATTATTCTTTATTTCTTAGAAATAGATACCACGGATGATGCTAAGATTATAATTTCATTATAATAATTTTAAATATTAATTAGAATTCCGACTAATGCTATTTACTGTTATTAACTGTGTACTCATTAATTTCTTATAAAGTATTTAATATTATATTTAGGTGAAATAATACCGTATTTAATGTATATATAAATATAATTTTCATAATAATTTAATGTATACATTATAATCGTCTTTATCTAATATGTATAATGTTCGAAATCATCATCTCACTGCGAGACGTCTCGAGGTGAGAAGTTTTAATATATTATGTAACAGATAATGTTAAATAAGAAATTTATTAAACTATACTTTTTAACTTAAATCACTCATTTCAGTCTACGGCAGTATCAAACATTGTTTTTAGAAAATCCAAAATATTATCCCGTAGTACAAATGTCGTATTGGTTTTTGAATGGACTTACCTTCAATATTGTTTTTGTGTATTATAATATTTCTATCGTATTTCCTATGATTCGTAACTATTTAATGTCGCTTCTTAAATATTATTTATGATCAGACAACTAACTCATTTGGTTTTTATTATTGTTATTTGAACAATCATCAATGTTTGTAAACACTAACTGACATTTGCAATGCGTGAATGACTTTTACTGTTTCACTATTTTTGGACATCGATCGAATCTATTCATCCAAATTAATCTTTACCACCGAAAAGTTTTTACACTTTTTAAAGTCGTCTTAATTTGGTACGATAAAATAATACGGACAGCCCGGAATATATTAATATAATTTAGGAATGTCGAACTTGTTTTCGTCAATGTGTATTTTAGCTAGTTTCTATAGCTTGTAGAGTCAAAAATTATAGATTGAATGTTGGACAGTTAGGTTGCGGCGGGCGGACGGACTGCTTACACCACGCGACAATGCCCCGGTAACGGCTCACGGCGAAGAGAAGGGCAGCCAAGTTGTTTACACCATCGCACCACGTGGTGGCCGATTGATATACGCCGTTACGTAGGGAACATTTACACCTGTATAAAGCGCTTACAAACTACAAATTGCATGACATTCATAAACCAGATTAGCCCAACCGTAATCAGATTGAAAACATATGAAATGTTACCTGAGCTCGGTGTCTGCCGTGTTTATCTGCCTCACGCGAAACACTATCTCTTATAAACAGTCGGAATAATTAAAAACTACAAAAGGTACTTCACTTCGTCACATACACAACACACGCGTAAATATTTCGCTAGAAACAACAACACAGTATTGTAAACACAGCGCGCGATAGAGAGAGGCGGCAGGCATACGAGCTAACACAAGCGACGCGCGCAAACGACTGACGGTGACGGCGGAGGGCGGCGGGCGCGGGGCTGTGCCGTCGACCCAGTCGAGGAATGCGGCTCGCCCGTTCTCGCGTGCTTATTTTTTTGGTCAGTCCGGTAGGGGGCGAGGGAACGCTGTTCGCTGTAGTATGTAGTCTGTACTTCAGTCATCTGTACTTTTTAGTTTGTTTCGCTTGAGCTCACACTGCTGAACACAGCTCGAGAATTGACTTCCATGGGTTTACTTGCACCTAATAGAAAAGATGGTTCAGCAACTTTTATAGTCCCTGATTGAAATAATATTTAAAAATCGAAAGAATTTTAAATATTAATTTTTAAGTATAATAGAAACAATAACTTATCATAGTAGTGAGACATTCAAATCATGATAAAACTTTTATTATTATACAGTATACGACCTCGACCTCTTCATATGATTAAAATTTACAAAACGTCATGATCAACATTGGAAAAGCCGTACAGCCAACATCAAGTTACAAAGTTAAATAACATATTTATACACAAATTATGCATATTAAAAGTTTAAGTTGTGTTGCCGATTTTTAAAAAATACTTGTCAAAAGAGAAGATGATCGTATATATTTTAAAATTAACTTAAATAAAACGAGTCTAATCAAGAAAATATAATAAACATTATCTTCAATATGATGCTCAATGTTTTAAATAAAACGAATACATACATTAATTGATAAGAATTTTAATTTATTTAAAAAAAAATGTCTACACAACAATGTTAGTGAAAAAGGTATAATCTAATTAAAAATGTATCAAATTGTACAGATATCAGGAGTAATGTAGCAGACACGTGTAAGAAAATCGTGATTCAGAAGTTTTGTTGTTAAGTAATAAAAAATTATCGTTTGAAGTTCTAATTTACTACGTCGTTATTTCATAACTAGTGACTCGTACACACTATTTATATTTTGATATAAAACCTATTTCGTATAAATTTATAATGACAGCGGTGAAATATTTGATAGGTTACATATTTACAAATGTACGTTTTAAAAGCCAATATTATTATGAAAAATATAAATTTATACTAAGAATTCAATAAATAGACTTTAATTTTCAGCCATACAGATTATAAAATAAAATAAAAATTACTCAGCCTACGTTATTACTACGGGTTCAACTCGATTTGAGACGTTCCCGGAATGATTACAAAACAACTGCCTTAGTAGGGAACGTACAAAGTTTTTATGAAACTATTAAGATACTGCATCTGGAAGCAGAATTTTTGTTAAGACTCATAGGTACCTTCTTGCTTCTGTAACTTCTTTTATGAAATCTTGTTCCGGTCTTATTAGTTCGCTGAATAGTCAGTTGGGTTCTTATTCCTATTATTATTTGTTCAAGATTTTTATTTTCTTACATCTAACAATCCAGATTATTTTTGACAGTCAGTAATACCCTTTTGTAACCTATCATGACCTATTTAATGGTCAGAATGAAAATATCCATTCGGTAAAATAATTACTCACAACGTAGTACATAAATCAAACTTAAATAAAAAGATTTGTGAAAAAATAATCACAATACATTGTAAAAAGTTTCACAATTTTATTTGAGGATCTCTAAAAATACAAACACCTACTCGTATCATTCGCACAAAACAATTTTTGTAAACAGATTACTCACCAGCAGGTTACGTGAGTTTTTATCCAAGAAAAATAATATACAGCCAATCAAGACCAAGTGTAGCAAAGCAGTTTTTATTTAAATTTCTTTTAATTGTTTCATAACATACTGAAATTATTGCTGGCTTCATTGAATCGAATTATCTACTTTCATGTATTTCGTTGATCTACAGATTTTTTTTAGCAACACGTGACCGGAAATGATTCCAGATAAAATATAATAATGACAATCGTCCGCGCGGGATTTAAAATAACCTCAACGGGAACATTTACGATTGTCAACTAAAATTCAAACTCTCATTAACAATGTCACAGTGATTTCGCAGTTTATGGTACAAAATATTTGCATCCACTCATAACCGCGACGACATTTCCAAATGTCATTTTGACCTCCAATTAATTGAAGTAATCTTTGGTAGCTAGGTAACCAGTTATCTGCGAGTGGGCGCCACAAAGGCTTATCAATACCGCCATTGAAAAACAAGGTTTACGCAAGCAACATTTTATCAATGAAAGCAAGTTTTTATTATTATCGTACACACGGGCTCGAATAAAATAGAAAACACTGTCTATATATTAGTATTAATGACGTGAAGAACTTTAATATCAGCTACATACTGTTCTTGTCTTTAATAGTTTGTTGTGACAAACGACGGTTAGTTTTAGAACATTAATCTACACGGTGATTATATTTGTAACTCCATATCAAAATTTCGATTAAACAGGCAGTTGTTTGATGGCGTATAATATTTTGTGACAATTAAAACAGAAAACCAAACATTCTAAAAAAATCTAAATATCAATAGACATAAAGTTTAATATCGTATAAATAATTGAAACATTATTATTCCGATATCCTATCGCTGAACGTCCATCTTCAAATTAAGAATATATAGTAGATATACAAAACATGTTAGAATGTTACTTAATTAGGCAAAATTGCAAGAAGTAAGATATGTAATAGCGCTAATTAATTACGAATTTACATTAATTATACCGGAGTCATTATTTATAACACTCAACACCCAATTATAGAGCATTGAACGTGTTTTAGAACGGAATAAACGGTTATGGAATGTTTACGACTTACGAGACGGATATGTAGGACTTTAAATACTTATGTGTGCTCTAAAAATAAAAATTACGTACATACCTTTATTGACAGTATTCGATAACTTTAAAATTAACGAAATGTTGACTACTTTCTCATTTTGATTACATTACTTGTGTTATGTTGCAAAATTTAATAAAGTCTGTCTTGGTTATATTGTTAATTTTTGAAAGTCTTAATCCTTTCATTATAAAAAAAATGATTGTTTACTTACTGCGTCAAATTAATTTGATTATTGATAAAAGTCTATGCAGGATTTGTATAGTGTATATATGTAGGATTTAATAAATAATAATGATTAGGTAGGTACTCCAATTATTCTGAACTTGTTATTTTTTTAAAATACCTTTTAGTTCAGTGTTGTGAATATCTGCAATGTTAAATCATTTATATTTCTATAACATATGAATATAAGACTGAAATACCTGTTGTATATAAATTTTGATTTTGTTTTCAAAAATTAGGAATGTATGAGAATTAAGACTTTCGTGAGTGTTTACTTCAAATTAGGAAAGGTTTGCAAACATGGAGGCGCATGATAAAATTATTTTTCGAAGATCCACTTATTCTAAATAGGTGTAAACAGCACAAAAAGCTATATCATTTAAGCTGTTACAAGATATTTCTCTTTTTTTTTTAATGTTATTATTGAAATTCAGACTTTTCTTCTCTCATTGTTTACCTAAATATTTTAAACCCCTCAAAAAACACAAAACTTTTTTTACGAACTTGCAGCAATTTTAAAATATATAATTATTTTCACTGTGCTATAATTATTTAAAAAACATTAAAAGCACAACCTTGTTCCAGTTTTTGAACGAGTGAAGAGGCATGTATCAAAATGTTTATATATGCATTATATACATAGGATTGCAACTTCTTTATATACGTGCTAACGAGAGGCGGAAACTTAGCACCTGACCGGTCTATAAATTATAACGATATCTAAAACATATTTGTAAAGAGAACTTTATTGAATTTAATTGACAACTTTGAAACATATTCATGGCATGATGTAATTCAACGTTCCTTGTTAGTAATGTGACTCGAGTGTCGCCACTTCGATGTGCATTTGACCCCAATCGCCCCCAATCGAAGGACTAAATTGTTCGTCTAATCAATTATATCAAAATGGCTTATTACTATTTTCACTTAATTTATATTATACAAAATGTCTACAGACAAAAACACACAAGAACTTAATAGCTTATAAATGTAACATTGTAATTATATTGCCTTCATTAAAAAGCTATGTTACAGTCTTTGAGTCCGTTTAGGGTGGTTTTATTTCTCTTTTTATAATTATAAAAGCATATTTATTTAAACATTTCTATTACTTACATGAAAAGTATGCTTAATATATATTTTAACTTCAGCATTTATTAAGAATGAAGCACCTCTGCGCCTAATGTATAAGTGGTAGCAAAAACGTCAATTACAGCCTTAAGCGAATAAGCTGTGCGTAGGTTTGTTAAAGTTATTGCGGCCATTACTTTTATAAAGTTGGTAAACCGGCAGCCAATATACAGTTATTGATAAACATTTTGCCCACGTCAAAGGCTAATACAATTTCTGTAACAATGGAACGATGTTTAATAAATTTTATTTTTAATATTCATATCTAAAGATTAATATTTGTGATAACGTTTTTGAGTTTACTTATTTTTCTTAACTACAATTCGTCGTTTCTCCACTGTTGATGCTCCTTCCTTATTTTATAACTTGTTTATTATTTGAATATGACGAATATATAACAGTTATAAATGAATGAGAAAGATTATAGAAATATATAACAATCATATCACAGAACATTTATTACCATATTTACATACCATTGTTGATAGTGAAAAACTTAGTTACATTGTAGGACTGTTTCAAGGCTGTTGTTTATCTCTAATGATAATAAATATTGTATAATTAATATCTTAGTTTATAAGGTAATAAGTAACGAGAAAAACTGAGGAACTAGGAACAAGTTTAATAATAAATACACAGAATCTATTTTAGTAACCCCAAACATTGTCAAGAACTGCTAAGTACTGGATGAAGTGGATAAATTCTGTGAGTGGACGGATGGATTGAGGACAAAAACAAAATAAATGTCACTGTCTGTGTCTTGGTAGGCGGAATACAAGATATACCTCATACGATCCGGGATTATCGTTAGGAAGTCAATGTGTTTCAACGGTTACGGAAAATGCTCCATTTAAAAATCTCAGTCGTAAGTTAGATAATATAGGTTGTCTTTCATCCTGAGAAGGAATAATAGATAGCTTTTTAAACGATCTTAACAAGGTAGGTAATCAACCGAACAATTAGGTCAGAAAAAGCCTTTCTAAGATAATTTCCTAATAATACCTTAAATTGGCCTTTCTCTCGTCTATGATTTTAATAAAACAATTTGTCAAAGTTAGATACAAAAATCATAAAAGTGTTGAAGTTGTTGCTCGGGCTCTAGCTATAGGGTAATTTCCCAACTTTATTCAGGAATAGCATTATTTTGGGATGAGTTTAAAAAGCCGTCGTAGCTTTAAAAACACGTAAGAAGTTCCAAGAGATATAACTTGGAGATTTCTCCATGATGACGTCGTCAAATCACTCATAAAAGGCAAAGATGCTCAAAAGCTAGAATCAAGACTTCAATTCCATAAGCAGTTTATGATAGAAGCACAAAGTAACAGAATAGGGTTAGAATCAAGTAAGAAGACCCAAGATACAGATATATGTATTGAGTCTTTTATTCGGCAAGACGAGAATGCTAAATATAAGATCTATGCAAAAGTTCAGAGATGAAAATCGAGTTGATCTTAATTATGTTTGGTCGCAAGCACACTAAAATTTTATCTCAATGGGCTTAAAAGAAATAACCACAATCTAGGGATCACTAGGTTTTCTAAGACAAGGCACCACTGCTATAAAATCAAACATCAAACCTTATTCTATACTTAAAGCGGTTCCGAATTGAACTATAATGATGGATACGTATGAGACACAATACAAACTCCCACAGGATATTTGTACGTCAGCATCCAGACACATTTCTATATTCGCGAACTTTAAAGCGAGTTACAGTGTTAATAGAGCTTACGTTTAATTGGGAAACTAACATCCCCAAGACCATGCTATCAAGATCAAAAAATATTACGAGCTAACGAACACGCGCAGAATGGCTTCGTCGTAAATTTGTAAACGGTAGAAATAGGAGCAAGAGGTATTACAGCTAAAACTCAATTTAATTCTTATAACCTACTTCGAAGGCAGCCCTAGTAAATTCATGTCAAATTTGTTTTGGTAGTGTGAGGAGCTTGGACGGTTGAGGTGCGTTTAACGCGCGTTAGATAAGGGGCCCTTAAACCTAAACCTGGGTCACAAGTCATGAGCACTGTTAGAGCTTCTCTCCCTGCAAAAATATGGACCCGGCACCCGCACGGTGTATCTATGGAATGCTGAGAGGTTTCGTCTTTAATTCTTAACACCGAATATCATAGTAAATAGTAATAGCATAAAAAAACAAGTGTATGAATTCTGTTAAGTTATGATTAAACATTATCTATTTACAATAGTTAAAGCTCCAAGGATCCGTAAACTGTGTTTTGAAACTTATTATGTATGTTTTGATAGCAGAGTTCCACCTGTATCATATGACACACCTATCTATAATAATCCATCAATCTATCGAGATTTTTTGTTAGTAAAACAGGTACAAAAAGTATGACTATTATTCTCCTTTGTGCTCCTATATCAGAGGCGACAAAATTTACATCTCGGCATCTGTGATCCACTTATTATTTCTAATTGACCTGACCCGCCGCCGCTAACTCGTGCCTCGTACAAGTCACTTCTTATTGCGGACAATGTGAAAATCATTGAGCTAATTAGTGTATTTATTGCGCATCTCCGAACTAGTGATACAGACTCTTCTGACGCACTCAATTTTGAATGATCGTGACGGTAGCGGATATTCAATGTACAGAAATTTTTTAAAAATACTGGAAGACCCGGCGAACTTCGTATCGCCCTATAATCAAGGAATATCTGTTACGTTTTTTTATTTATATTTTTGTAGTTCACCTATTAAAGCCATAAATCTCCGTGTTTTGAAGTGTGACAGAATGATTGACATATTAGTTAGTTGTCAAATCTAATGTCAAAAAAAATCATTTACATCAACAACTACTAATAAATTAAAAATTAATTAAAAAAACATTGTCCAGCGAACAAAATTGTGAATCTAAACCATTCCCAGATCCCCTTGAACACACACAAAAAATTTCATCAAAATTGGAATAGGAAAAACACTCACAGAAGAATTATATATACAAAGATAAAAGTACCGATTTCTATTTTTTTTTATTTTTTATACGAATTTTATTTTATGGACAAGTTTACTTTATCAAACTATCGTAGTTCTGGTTAAGTTAATAAATCTATCTAAATAATATCGGTTATTTGATCAAACGTCTGATTCAAGCACTTTAATTCTGAAGTATGCTATGAAGTTAATCATGTAAAACATTTAAAAGATAGATTTATTTGCCGTTATGACGTCATAACTGCCCGTTAAGGACATAATGCAAGACTAATAACATTGCATTTGGCAGTAAAACGGGAAAATTGCGCCGTTGAGTCGCCGATGATTCGGATTACAACTTAGTTCGACATATATTAAAAGGCAAAGATTTTAATAAAAAACGTGTAAATTTAATAATTATCTAAATAATGCATCACAGGTTCATCAGTTTCGTACACCTCTTGTAGTGTCTTTAATACTAGGGATTGTATGAAATCCACCTGAAACAAATATGCAATTATTATAAATTATAATTAAATAAACAAAAACAAAATCGCTTAAATTATTTTATGACGTTCTGTTTGAATACTTTATTAATTTAATTTCTAAACTAATTGTTTTATTGATTGAAAGTTGTCTACATTTTAATAATTAAACATAAAGTGATTGTTCCTACTTGGTGTGGCGGACAATAACCGTCGTCCGTGGATCTCGCTACTGTTATCAGAACAGGTCGCGGTATTTCTAACAGGAAATGGTTTCAGAGTATTCTCTATAGTATTCTGTATTTCTTCCTCACTCGTTATGTTGTAAGGCAGACCGCCCTGGTCTCTGGTACAGCCGCCAGCGAACACTGCCCACCAGTCCGGCGGCTCCCCGAGCCTATCAGCTTCGGCTTTTTACATCCTCAACCAAAACACAAACCTAAACAGATATAGTAAATGAATTACACGTTATAATCTTCACTGATAATTTTTTTTGATGACGTAACTCACCTGTTCATACAATTCCGTCTTTGGTCCTTTGTATTTTTCTAAGTTGTCATGTTTTTCTAAACACGCAAACATATTTTCTAATTCATCGAGTTGATTCTCCCTCGCTTCATTGAATCTCTGTAAGGTAAGCTCGTCAGTATCGGACGGCATCTTGAACGAGAATATTGGCTCCAGTCGATCGTATAGCTGAATATTTTTGTACAGATCGAGGAATGGGTTTCCCGTGCTGAAGAAGTCTAAATCTATGTCTAGTACGTATGGCTCAGTTATACTCAGTGATTGTAACAGCGTTGTAATGCTGTCTATATTATTATCAGCGAGTTCTGCTACGGTGAATATGAATTTCTTCTTGTTTGTCAACTTGGCGGAATACAAAGCGTCGGACATATAATAAGATTCCTTGCAATCTACTCGAAGTAAACCAGTGTCGGGGTGATCTCCGACGTGTATGACGCGAGTTCCGTCAGTGAATTGTTTCGCCCAGGGCGGTCGGAGCCACACCACTCGTCCTATGTGGCCGGCGGCGGCCGCGGGTGCTATCCAATTTTCTATTTGCAACAAAGGCAAGAGCTTTCTCCCCGATCGAGCTTCGCTGCCTTTTAATTTACGATCTATGAGCATGTCTGGGTGCGCATCTAGATGCAGTAAGGTTGTCCCTTCTACGGGTAACTTATTGCCACCGATCGCGGAATATATAAATTGCAATGCGTCGTTATGTTCCTCTACTACGTAAATGGGAATTTTCTTAAAGCGTTTCAAGTTTTTACTGGCAGTGTCCATAGCAGCTTGATAATTTTCACTCACCTGCAAAAAGACACTATGGTTATTACTTGGATAATTGTGATTTTATGTTAACTAAATAGTTTACACAATTTCCGTTCAGACAATCACACGGTACCTACATAAGAAATAGTGAATTAAAATGAAGTAAAAAAATACAACATGTATGACAGCTTTCGTTTATGTCCCCATTATCGTTTTTAAATCCTTAAGATATAAAAAATGAAACACTCAGGAGCAATATAATTGAACACATCCGGTGTATTTCATAGTATATAAGACAAATGTACTTATGAAACTGCGTAAAACCCAGCCTGAATGTGGGCCAAGGTCGGAACATACAGACAAAAATATCGAGGAAAGTTCCACCTCACTACTTCACGGGAACTGCGCACATAGTTAAAGCCTATTTGACTTGACCAAAACATAACTCTTGACATTGATGGAGTAATGGACAACAAGGTGTCGACTGGCCAAATAAAGCAGTTTGGCAACAATATTACAGAGTACAATACGTGCGTATTACATGGATGGTTCAGTAATTGATTGTACTAATTGCGGTTTGCAATTCATTCATGAATCCGATACAAAATAGTAAACAGTCATAGAATTATGGAATGGTGATTAAATTTATTCGGACGGTAAAACTGTTTCATTGTATCGTAATTAATTATCTAATTTCATTTTTTTTATAGATATTATACTTCAGAAACGATTTTTTTATATTGTCTATACTTATTCCGATTATTTCAGAATAATCAGGATAAAAACAAATAGTTAGATTCGAATTTCAGATAGGCGAGAGGGCGTTAATTTCTTAATGTATGCGGATGTACCAGTGTTATTACACGAAGTAGGTCCTGACTCCTGATACTTCCTATATAAGTTTCCGGGCAGCGCGCTGCGTAGATGCGCGTTGCGGGCCGGAGGGTGCTGAGAGAGGTGCGAGGGGGGAGGAGGGGAGTGTTGTGACGGCTGGCGGGGTCGATACAGCGCGTCGTGACGTCACTACGCTACTACGCCCGTCTAAATAGACCCCCCGCGACGCTTTCCCCCGTGACCTATTGCGCTGTTACGCCCACTTGGGTCAAGGCGCAAAAACGGTAGAACCGCCCGGATGTTCAGACTGTATGCGATATAATTAGACTTATTTAGAAAAGCGAAGCTGACGTTACGGACGATAGTCACAAACAAAACTTACACACAGGAAGGAATAACACGAAACCAAATAACACTGACGCACATATCTGATAGCAGGTGCCGGTCTTCTTCCAACCGAAAAGATTATCCGGTAAATCCTCTAAACTGGCAAACAAAAATGTGACACTTCCGGATCAGGTTACATAAGAAAACACTTACTCCATATTGATTTCTTCAAGCGGTTAACTAGAGACAATGGACAGGACTAAATATGAGCTCACAACAATGCTTCTAAACACCTACCCAAAAAAAAAACACATTACATCGGTGTTACAGCTTCTGGGACACAAATTTCCTCCTTGTGGTCTATTTTTTAACACAAATAAATCACAAGAAAACAGATTTATTTAAATGGAAAAATCTTAAACAAATGTATCCGACAATGGAGTTAATTGTATTGAAGCGGTGGCCCAAAGATATGGTTGTTTATGACTAATGTCTGCAGTATTTTGGAATTAAGTATTCATTATAATATGGACACTCTTATAATCTTAATCTTTTTCATCAGTTAGATACTTCCGAAAGGACGTCGAAATACACCTAAGTTAGAACAATATTATATACATATTTTTATTCGACTTACACCGAAGCGAGTTGCCCTAAAAACTGACGTCAAGTAAATTAAATGGGCCAATGTCAATATAGGCCTATTGATTGCGAAATTTTGTTTATATTTTTGTTGTTTTGACATCACCAATAATTTGTTTGACTGAATCATAAATAACAAGAGAAATATTTAAAGTAGTATATAGATTATTTATCTATATTTTGTAAATATGAACTTAGATGCATATTTTTCATAGCTAACTTCATCGTAGGTATCTACCTATATGCTTACGGTGTATATACATACGTATATACTTCATCGCTATAAAATCTTTAAAAATATGACATGTGTAGAATGTTTTATCAATATAATAGCAATTATATTACTTAATCCAAGAGGTCTTCAAACAATTTTGTTGTTTTTTGATAGTTTTATATTTCTATATATTAGTTCCTATATACATACACGTATATAGATATGTATTCTATTTTACACGTCCTGGAGTACTTTATACACCTATCATCTATACTTAAATGTAGCTCGTTTCTATCTTAAGATATTGAAATTATTCTCATCACAAGCCATCCTGTGACTTTACGCTAAAAGCTTTTTGAAGCATATCGCTGAGTAAAGTTCTCTGTTTCAGAACATTTCGTAATATTGTGACCTGCTTTTCTTAATATAATATATTAAAACTACTAAATCAAAAAGAACCTTTTTAAACAAAAACCTTTCTTTAAGATAATAAATTCTAAGACGTAATTGCAGAATCTAACAATCCTGCGGCAATCGAGTTAAGTTTAATTACATTTCATTTATAACCAATCCCAGTTAGATAAGTGGTAGATATATATCACAGTAAATCTATTGGTATTTAAAAATAAAATTTACGAACATATTATGTCATTATTTACAACAATGATAAAATGATTTTTTTAAATTAAAATATAGGTTTTATATATATGGTTCTACATATTTGAGAGTTTTCTGACAGAAAAGCAAGTCTTGAGATTTGCAAAACTTTTCAACAAACCTCTCGAAAACATTATTATTACTAAAAGCTATACAAGACCTTCCTTAATCAAATAAGGTTAAAGGTGGTAGAGCCTAGCTGTGGTGAGTTACTGCAGCTCGAACATGGGCTGGCTCGACCGGGGAAGTACCACCCTCTCACAGAAGATCGGCGTGAAGTAGCCTTCACCGGCTGCGTTTCGTCTGATGAGTGAGAGAGCCGGTTGCCCTTTCCCTATTCCTACCCCTTCCTTTCATTTCCTTATTCCCTCCCCTCCCTATCGCCAAAAAACAAGGTTGGCAACGCATCCGCAACAAAGATGTTACGGATGTCCATGGGCGACGGTAACCACCTTCCATCAAGTGGGCCGTCTGCTCGTTTGCCACCTTTAACATAAAAAAAAAAAAAAATATTATTTTGTTCTACTTATTTCAGCCGATACTCGGTAGTTCACCAAGTCCGTTGACTCGTACTTAATATGTATAAAAAACTGTTCAAACTCTTTTTTCAATATTCCTTTAAAACCTACGTGTTCTGTAAACTTGTTTAGTTGGACTTCCATTAATTTGCTTGTCACAATAATTTTCCTATTGTGATCATATTTGCTATTACATAATAATATGTTTTATTTAAATAAAAAAGGTTATTTGTATATTAAAATTTAGTTAATTTCTAAGTTTTTCGTTGCCTGGAATTATATGGATTATATATATTTTTTAATATTACAATGTAATTGTTTGTAAATGTTCTTTTTTACAAAAAAAAAAAAATATATTGGTTGTTTGTAAAGTAGGTTTACGATCGAGATGTTTACGTGACAACGTCTTATTGGTGATATAAGTTTTTGGGAAGTAAGGAATTAATGAAGATAACAATTTTTTAAAATTTTAAATTACATCTATCGTTTTATTCACACTTTTGATGATAAATTTCGGGTGTAAAATGACAAGTTACTTATTCGACTATGATATAGGGGAGAGTTGGTTATATCGTACTAGCATTTAAATCGTACCACCTCTACATTTCCCATTTAATGAATATTTTTTTATACATTGACAACCCCAAATCGTGGCACTGGACCATCCCTCTTCACCCACTAGTTTAAATCGACGTGAGTTAACAACTGTTCACGTAATAAAAAAAAACATTTTTTGTAGGAATTAATATAAATATTGTCGTACATTCGAAAGGAGATAACTCGTAATCAAGGTAAGCTATAGTTATTCAGTTTTTTTTTTATTATTCCACAATTGTATACTAGATTATTGGGGGTTTTTGTTGCGTGTCTAAGTTTTGAGTTTATGCCGGATATTTGCTTTTGTTTTAGAAATGCCTTCGTTGGTTTAATCGTACCACTTGCAGTTGGTTAAATTGTACTGGTACGATTTACCCGACTACCAACCGCAAGTACCTATAGTACTACCGCAAGTACGTATAGTAAGTACTACCCAAGACCAAAAACAAAAGTTATAAGAGGAAACGATCTCATTCCATCACCAGTAGCGATGATTCAGGAGAGACACTTGTTGTAGAACTAGATGATGATGATGACAGCGATGATTATCTTGAAAATATATGTCGAAAGTGCAATTGTTCTTACTAGGATAAGAAGGGTCCAAAAGTTGATTCGATTCAATGCGTTTGCTGTAAACGGTGGCTACATGAGACGTGTACTTCGAATCCAGACATTTATCATGATTGTTTCCATTAAAAAATATGCACAATAATTATATTACAAATAACTAGTTGGTGGCCTAGTGGTTAAAGGGCCCGCCTCTCGTTGCCAAGGGCGCGGGTTCGATCCTGACCCGGGCAAGTAGCAATGTGATTTTTCCGAGTCATATGTACTTTCTAAGACTATTTAGACATCACTGATTAATGTTGATTCCCAAAAGAGGGTTGATGTCAGGCAGGCGGCCGGTCGTAAAAACAAATAGCCAAAACGATTTACAACATGTAAGGCAGACCCTGGATATAGCTGGGAAATTGCCAGGTAGAAGAAGAATTATATTACAAATAACATTCTTGTTAATTGTTACTTTATTATTATAGTTTACTGTTTTCTTTTTTTTTGTCTCATTTTTATTAGTTATGTTGATTGATCTCATTATCATAGTATAATCATGTTATTTTACTGAGAAAGCTTATAGTTCCTTTATATAACCTAAGTAAAAAATTATGTTTCTATTACCTATTAGATATAAATAATATTGTTTTATTACTTACCTAACTGTCAAAAATAAATAATTTGATTGAGAATTTTAATGTCTTTCATTCAGTGGTACGACTTACACACCATGGTACGATTTAAAGACTTGGTGGTACGATTAAAACGACGAGTCGGCTAAATCGTACCGATGGCAAGCCTCTATAAAAAAGCATTTTTAACAATGTTAGAATAAGCGCAAGGATCTGTTCTCTTCTTCTTAGGAAGCTAAAATATGAAACTTTATTTTACATATGTATTAATTATTATAAGACGTGTTATAGTCGAAATATTTGAGTTAAAGTGAAAAGTGGTACGATATATCCGACTCTCCCCTACATTTTTCTTCATACATACATTCATACAAACATACTTTTATACATTTATTTCACTGTTAAACATTCAACGAAAACTTAACCGCACGAGAAAATCTCCATTCGTTTGTATGCCGCTAGAGTGAGAGAGACGGAAGATCGGTCCACTCACTCGAACGCTATGCCTGCCTCCGCTCGTGAGGATTCCGCGTGACAAGTTTCACGGAATGACTGGCGGAGCTCGAGATGAGACGGGAGATCGGTCCGTCTCTCTCTCTCCTTATACCTGCGATCGCGCTCGTGAGGTTTTGGTGTGACACAAGTTTCTAAACATGTCACCCGACTAAAACGATTTTAAAGACGTTGTCACGTCAATAATGAATCGTTCGTCTATCGCATGTCGCATTATATACGTCCGCGGCAAAGAAATGATTAGGCCAATGCTCTCTACGCTTTATATTCTCAAGCATTCATACAGATTCTCTATAGTGTATGGTATTGAACAGTGATTTAGATAAATATTATAAACAGTTTTTAATGTATGCCTATCCTTTGAGTGATATCGCTTATTATGTATTTTGTGTATATCTTTTCTACTACTGATTTTTTATTACTAATTAGGTACGTTGAAATCTTCAGATAAAATGCTAATAATTAAAAAAAAGAGTCACTTTGATCATGGTTATAAAAACCACACCACACCTTTTTTTTGTTATTTTTTATTTGTCTATTAACAAACAATATAAAATAATTATATACTATCAGGGACAAACGCTACAATGTTTTTAATATGACACAACATCTAAGTATTATTATTTAAATGTATGCAAATTCCAACTTAATCGGCTATAGATAATTGATGTAACATTAAAAAGGAAATATTGAAGAAACAACTTTATGGTATTTAAAAACATGTAACTAAATGAACAGAAAATTGCAATGGTTTTTTATTTTTCAAAGACCCTCCCCTTCTTGACTTTGTAAGCATATTCAACAGCTTCACCCCAAACATACCTAAAATGATTAATGTGAAAAAAATATAGTGGTATCTTCATTTGAGAAAAAATATTTTGTTTTGTAACTAAGCCACTGGTTTGATTAAAAAAATAAAACTGATCTTTTAAAGTTCTATCAATTGAAACTATAATTAAAGTTTTGTTATGAAACAAACTTGCACAACCAAGAATGGGAATTTGAACTTTATTGTATCTTCTATGTCAAAAAAGAATGAGATAAGCTTGGCTTATGTGATTATGTATATAATTCAGATTAGTTAGTCTGTATTCAATGACAAAATAATAAGTAATTTATATAAATATTACAAATTTTCATTTGCATTTTTTAATGAACCCTCTTGTAAACAAGTTCAATAAAATACATGATTATTAGGTGTCACTAAATAATTTTCCTTTTTTATGTGTTTAGGTACAGAAAGAAGAACCGTACATTAATGTTATTGGCTATACCAAAAAACAGGTCGTTCATTATTTGTAACTATCAAAAAAAAATTGTTTTAAAAGCAAAATTTAAGCATTATTGACTCGCATACTTGAATTAAAATTATATCCTTTGTTATTTTTAGGTCAAAATATTGATTTGATATATAAATTCTTTAGTTTTGTTTATAAGTAATTTTATTTTATTTAAGTTCTCATAAATAAATAATACTAAGTTCATAAACTACAAAAGTTCCTATAATACTGTAAAGGTAAATGTAACCTTTGATAATATAAATGGCAGAAAACACTTACCAAAATAAATTCAAATTTTATTGCCTATTACAATTTAAGTCTAAAATTTTCTGTTAAGTGTTCATTGTGAATTTTACGGTGTTCTTATATTTTTGTAATGTAGATATTTAAATACAGTTTTGACAATGACAATTGACATAATGACGACGTTGTAATGAAAATTATAAGCTTTTGAAGGTTGATTTAGCTAACATCTTCGCTTTTGTTGACATAAACCCCAAAATTCAATTCCAAAATGTAGAATTATGTCTGTTAATTTACTTAAAATAAATAATGATAATAACTAGTAGCGCCATCTATGATATGTCATATGATTTATTACCACTTATTTTATCTGAAGTAGAGATTTAAGACAAATTAAACAGAAAAACATCAATGCTTTAATTTTTTGATATTACTAAGCATGTATGATATTAATATGTCCTATATTGAATGTAGTACGTACTAATTATGATTGTACAGCAAATTAATATTACTAATGTTTACCGACCATACTTATGTTCTTTTAACTTAACTTGTGACCACGGCCAGCTCAACATGGCCGAAAAGTCAAGCAAAGTAAAAAATTCATTAAAGAATCACGCTAATACTAGTTCTTAATAACATAATTAATATTTTACTTACTAATCGAGCAAAACATTTTATGATCTGTATTCCTGTCCGATTTTACATCCTTAAATTACATAGGGAATTGGTAGATGTCCATAATTTGGATGTTGTAGAGCCTAGCAGTGGTCATTTACAAAAGCTACAACGTGGGCTGGCTCGACTTTGGAAATATGTACCACCTTCTCACAGGCCGGTTTGAAGTAGACTTTTATGGCTGCGTTTCATCCAATGAATAAGAGAACCAGTTGCCGTTTCCCCGTTCTCACCCCTTCCTTATTCCCACTCCTCCGTTCTCTCAATAATCAAGGTAGTCAATGTTTTCGCAGCATAATATGTTGCGTATGTCTATGAATGACGGTGACTTTTGCCCGTCTTCTTGTAGGCCAATTTAAAAAAAAGAGATACGTGAACTAATAAGAAGGAAAGGCGTCCAAAAGAACTTCCAAAGAAGCAAGGTCCAAAATTTAAAAAAAAAATCCGCTCCTATAACGGAGTTACCTTTTTATCTTCAAGTTTTTGTAAAAAATTCCAGAAAAAGTAAATATATTAACTAGTTCATCTGAACTACCTTTAAACAATGCCGTCGTCAATGAACTACCTCAGAAAAAGTATTTTTCTTATTTTTTAGAAAATATCGTTAATTATTATTTTTTAGAAAATATCGTTAATTAAAAGACTGCTAACGTAAAAAAATATTTTAAATAGACTTCCACCTTTTTTTAAAAGTCTGTTGAAAAGTAGACAATTTATGCCTTATGACATTACAGGGAGTAAACAGAACATAAACGGAAAAATGATAATATACCTACTCATTATAAGTTTTGATGTTATTATGCATAGTTTTCATATGCGTTTTTTAAGAAGCTGTTAATTTTAAAACTTGAAAGACAACTTTTAATTTTATGTGTCACTATAGATAACAATGAAGTAGAAAAAAGTGGTGAGGTGAAATAAAACTCACAATATATTAAACCTATATAAATCTTTTATTTTTATTTATAATTTACACATGGACAATTCATATAATTTTAAAGAAATAAAAGTCTCATGATTCTTCTTTAAAACAAAAAAAAACAAAATACGACAAAATTATAGATTCTATCCTCTTTCATTGATAAACCATGTGAAAATTACTTACTTAATTATAACTTATGATAATTCAAATGTTATGTGATATATATTAGTAAAAAAAAAATTACGATGACTCCGTGGCATTGTAAATGCTCTTAAAACATCTCCGGATCGATAAAATCCTATTTGAGACTTGCACCAGCACTGGTTATGATAATATGACAATTAAATAATGGTAATGTCTCTTATTTTAAATTGACATTTATGATACGGTCAAAAATCTTACTCTAATGAAGTTAATTTCTAGTCGGTAGCTATCAGAAAATAGACATCAAGTAGATCATATCTACTGTAATGTAACATTAATGACTGAAACTCTCATACCATATATTGCAGTGACGGGTGGGGCGAAAGTAAAAAATTAAAAATCTATTAAATTACATATCTATTCTTATCAATAACAACACTGTGAACATATTTTTGTACTCTGTCCACAATCATTGATGTGAGTAGCCAATAAATGGCAGTGAGCTGTCTAATTACAAAAAAATATGTAAAATTGTACATTAACTTTTATATAAGTGATGTAAATCTTTCGTCAAAATGACAAATTCATAATTTAGAAGGCACTGTAATGGCACCACAGATGGGAAGGTTCAGATATATAAGCGGCAACACTATGGCATACATCGTGATTTGTACTGAGGTACTTAATATTTGCCCATCCATAGTCTCATGTCAGTACCGGGATTGAAACCTAAGAGAGATGTGGAGGCGCCGTATACTAGAAACCGCACTGTCGATCGAGTGAGGTGTCCTTTCCTTACATAATACGACAATTCTCTTCACCTTCACGAATTTCCCCCAGTTGCTGTAATGAAAGTTATTTAAATTTAGTTTTACAATAACGATTATATTGTTGACCATTACTTATATATTTTATAATCTGTTAACCTGTTCGCGACGTGGGAACTTGTGTGCTAATTCGCGGTGTCGCTGTGCACTTGTACTGATCTGTCGTCGTTGTCTCTCAGATACGGCTACCTCCTGAAAATCAAGATTAATTTCAATATAAATTTTATATATTATGTACTGTCTACTACAAAATCCTAAGATATTTTACAAGACAATGTAATAATACTCACTTCTCCATCATTATTAAGTAACGATGTAACGAACGAGTCTGCCACGAACCACTTCTGTCCCTTCATGACGATGCTCGTGGGCGGTTCGTGGTCAGCGCCCACGTCTGCTGACCACACCGTGCTCACGGCGCCCGGCTCGAGCTTCACTGTGCGGTGGAACTTGAACACTGTCTCCTGGTCACCAGCCTTACGAAGGATTTGATAACCGCCGAGGCTTAGCTCCTGTTATGTTAATATAATATTATTATATTCTGTATTAAATTACAGATAAATTATAAGTATATACAGTAAAATAAAGAAGTGAATTATAGGTATAAAAGTACAGAAATAGTGAAATAAAATTCCTAGTGGTAAATCCTATAAGAAAAACTTAGGATTTCACAGAAATTATGTTAATAAATTAAATAGTTGTAGATTAAGGTATATTTGATCGGTGTTCTTATATGTTGCAATTTTATTATCCGGGCATCAGTTATACGGATTCTTGATTATCTGCACTATCAATCGTAACCAATAACACTAAATGCCTACAAGACAAATTAATTTTTTCGGAACCGCCGGCCCATTGGTTTCTTTATTGTTTTATTTAATTAATATTTGTTGAAAAAAAAAATACAGTAATACTGTGAGTTTGTAAAACCGTAGTTGTAGAAACAAATCGCTGATATAGGAGTCACAAGGAGAAAATGGCTTAGGTCACATTAAAATTTTTAAATATTTTAAACCAAATTCAAAATTATCATATGATTGTATGATAATCAAATTTACATATACTAGTATAGTTAGTATATTGATAAATGTACCTCTTAATAATCTTATTTGATATGGATTTTGTCCTACATATAACATTATCTACTACACAACACTGAACCCTTCTTTCTTCTGTCTAGACATTCAACTAACCAGATATGTATTCAATTATAATAGAAATCACAATTTACTTCTGATAATCGAGTTTTCACTGTGACAAAATTTGTACATTTTTAAACGGTTTTATTTAGCTCACCCCGTTTGTTTTATTTATTATTTATTCTTGTTAATAGTAACTATTTATGTGTCGTACCTTCTTTCCTTTATTGCGTATCTTAACGAACGCTCCCTCCGGGCAGGCCTCTGCTACTTCCAAGTCTCCTTTAGCGCTGGACGTGACGCTGAAGTCTTGAAGGCTTCGTTCCTCACTCTCGTCTAACAAAGTGCGCTTACGAGCGGCGCGGAGAGGCGTCGCGCGACGACCGGGAGTCACACGACCACTACCTGACGCACTCATTGATGCACGGGACTCACGGCCGGGCGATTGAGATGTGAGGTTCAACCTGTAATAAAGGATATATAAATATTTATAGTACTTTATGTAACCCATCAGCCTATCAGAAGCCCACAGCTGAGCAAGGCCTCTTTCTCACATGGAGAATTATGTAACATTTGAATAAAAAAGAATGGAAAAGATTAGAGGAGGCCTTTGCCGACTGGTAAACCTTGGAAAAATAACCAGGCAACTAATATTTGTCTAAACTCATTTATTTCTATCATGTATGAGATTTTAATGTTAGTTCTTTACATAAATTTAAAAATCAATTGTATGAAATGATTGAATGAGGTTATATTATAATTATTATTTAAAAAAAGAATTATTGTGTGAATAGCACTAGATAAAAATATAGTCAAGTATGGACAGAATGCTTAGTTAATAACTCATTAAAGGAAAACTGAATGTGTATGAATTACAAAAATCATTGTATTGCTAGGAAGCGACATGTCATAGGTTTATATTTTGAACTAGCTTTCCGCAGCTTCGCCCGCGTGGAGTTCGGTTATGTCGCGTTTCCAAGAGAACCTTTCAAAAGTCTGGGATAAAAACTATCCTATGTTCTTTCTCAAGGTAAACTCTATCTCTGTACCAAATTTCATTAAAATCAGTTCAGTGGTTTAGACGTGAAAGCGTAACAGACAGACAGAGTTACTTTCACATTTATAATATTAGTAGGGATGTGTTCAACAACATCAAGTGCAGTACCAATAGTTGTCTGGCAGAAATCGCTTCTTAGCGATAAGACCGCCTTTTTGTACATTTCAATTTATAATTTTTTTTTTTTGTGTAAAATTTACTGTTTGTGGTGTACAATAAAGTATATTCTATCTATCTATCTACCTATCTTCCTCGCCCTCTAAGAGCGTGCGGTAGGTAGCTATCTCGTGGTCCAGCGAGCACTTGATGTCCATGAGCGTGGCGTACTCCCTCAACTGGGACGCCATCTCGTCTCTAAGCCGCGCCAGCTCCTGTTCCAACGACGCCAGATCCTCGGCGTGACGAGCTCGCTCGGATTCTAGTTGGCGTTCGAGTTCACGGCAGCGGTTCTATTTAATTTGACAAATAGCATTTTAATTAATAATGTAAGCTATATCTATTGCTTCTATGTTTAAGGGCCAATGTGCAAATGTAAATTTTACAGTAGAGGCGTTTTAAGTTTGATTTCAATGTATCTTTTACATGTGATAACTGATGCTTTTAAAACTTTTGCATAACAACTATGACATACATGTACACCTACTGGTTTTATACATGTATATATATATATATATATATATTATGATATACATTACATAAGCTCTTATAAGTAACAAAGTGTTACTTATGCTTTTTCACTGAAATAAAAACTAAGTCTTTCCACCAACAAATACAATTTTTTTTAAATGGATGTTGTAGAATACAGTACATATTATATAGTGCATACAGCAAAAAAAATAGCTTAATTATTACATTGGCCCTAATACATGGGAGCCATCGATATATAAACTACTCAAAACAAAATAGGGCCCACCAGGATTTATTCACAAGTGTTGGCATGTTACTTCAAACTTTTTTATGGGTAAGTTCGAGTGTTTTACCGTTAAACTGAAATGTTTGAGTTCTTATCATTCTATGAACAACATTTTTTAAATTTTTACTCTCAAGTGGCCAGCTACAAACAAATTAAGACAAAATCACCAATGCAAAATTTGTTATTCAGTTGCATTGCGACTATCGTTCCAGAAGCTTCTTGTTTTGTTTAACTTTATATTTGTAGTATACTAACACTGAGAGCAGCATTCTTGTTTTCCAGATCGTTGAGTGTAGTGTTCAACGAGTCGATCCTGGTCCTCATTGTCCTTAGCTCGTCTACAGCCACGGTGGCTGCTGTGTTGTTACGAGTAGCCGCTGATTGGAGGTTCTTCAACTGTTTACATATAAGAAACCGAGATTAACTTGATATTATATATTAATATTGGAGTTTCATTGCTTTAGTTGACTAAAGAGTAGTACCATTAATTTTTAAATAGGATTAAACATAAACAATGTGTTTCTAGACAGTTTAAAGATTCATATTGCGTAAAAGAAAACCTTTTAAAGATTAAAATTTGATCCTAATATATATAGTAATAAAATGAACGCATTTTTTCAATTTCATGTTTCATGCGTAGCGAAACTTAAAAGAATCAAATAGGAAGTAATTCCGTTAATCATCTGATGATAATGATAATAATGATAACATTTTCAATGAAAACAAAATAAATAGAACGGTTTATAATCTTGAGTGCAGTGCATTCAGTATGTATGTTTGTTCTAGGTCACAGGTGTAGCCTCACCTTATTCTCGTATAAGGCTTCTATTTCATCACGATTCGCCTTGATATTAGCTTCCTGCTGTTCGCGCAGTTCTTGAAGGCTCTGCTGAAGTTTCGCCTCATACTGCTGGGCCAGGCGTCCGTCTGAACAGATAATTTTAATAAAATAAATATTAAACACTCTAATGATATTACAATTTAATGATAACTAATTAATTAACATGAAAGTTAACCAAGCGTTAAAATTAAGGCTGTGACACACATTATATTGGGAATATTTTTTGGACATGTATAGATATTGTAGGTCGCGAAAGCGAAACAATTTTAGCTTTTTTCATATATAGACTATCTTACTAATATTATAATTGCGAAAGTTTGTGACTGTGTGTGTATGCTTGTTACTTCTTCACGCTCAAACGGCTGAAACGATTTTGATAAAATTTTGTATACAGGAAGCTGACGTTCAGGAATAACACATAGGCTGCTTTACATCCCGGAAATATCGGAACACCGCGGGGGGCAGCTAGTAACATTATATATATATATACATATAGTGAGCCGTGTGTAACTGACCTATCTCAGATATTTCCACCTGTCTCCGTGTGCGCGTCTCCTGCATCTCCTGCTGGAACACCTGCTCCTTGAAGGACAGCTCCTCCCTCAAGCTCTGCACCGTGTTCTCCATATCAATACGACACAGCATCTCATCTTCCAAAGTCTTGCGCGCTTCGGCGTACACCTTGCGTAATTTCTCCAACTCCTTCGCCAAATCCTGTTTAAAATGTATAAGATTCATGAAATATACTATACTAGCAATTTTCGTTATAAAAATTATCTTTTGAGCTAGATTGTAGCTTTAAATCCGAGTTTTGATGACCGATAGTAGTAACGGTAGGACGGACAAACATACATAAACATTAGAGCATCATGTTTTTAATATTTATAACCAATATTCTTAAATCTATAAAATAAGTTTTATAATGTATAACTTTCTTTTACTGTATTAATATATTTAAAAATTCGTTTCCAACCTCGATAACAGCTAAAGCTGAATTTGTTTAATTTATTTTAAGTATATACAGTGATAATAACGCATACAGTCGTGTCAACTTATCGAGTCAATATAATGCGGAGTTAAACACGTATTAAGAGTCTCACCCTGGCCTCATCTTGAGCCTTCTTCTTGTCAGCGAGTGCTGTGTTATATTTGTTACTCTCCTCGGTGTAGCGGGTCTCATAGTGACGAGCCAAATTTTCAGCCTGCTGACAATCCTTGGTCTTCTTATCTAGACTGTATAACAATTTACCGTTTATAAAGAAAAAAAAACATCACTATAATATGATTCAAGAAAAAATATATGACCTCGTTCTATTTAATGTCCCATCGCGGAAATGGGGTCAGTCAGTGAATTAGTATGAAAGTAACGTCAATAGCTCTTTCGTAAGTCTTGCTTCTAGTATTATTGTGAAAGTTTCGTGATATATCGATCAGATAAGTAAGACTATGGAGACGATTCCTGAAGTTAGTAAACAGGTCGTCACGAAAATAACTTTGAATGCGGAAATGTTCAGCTTACGCGTCTATTGTTACTTATAGAATTTTTTGTATACATTTAAAAAAGTTTTACTCTCATACTTCTTTCATCAAAGTTAAATATTTAATATAGTTGATGAACATTATTAAAAGTTCGATAACAGTAGTGGCCAACAGGTGCACTAATTTTATTATAAAATGTGAAAAACTCGGACCGCATATCATTGTATATTTTTATAAACATGACGTATTCGTCAAAGTATGCCAGCGAGTCAGCAAACAGCGGTTTCAAGAAAAATATGATAACCTCGAGGCATAACATGAATCGGTCTCCATAACAAATACACTACCGAGCCAAGGTCGTGTTGACACTGTATATTAAATATCAAACATTAAAAATACTGATAAATCACGTAGAGGATAAAGATTAAAAACGATCGAGGGGTGAGACTTATTTGAAAAACGTTGAAAATGCTCGAAATAAACGAAAATTTATTAAGTAATAATTCCCATATTGATAAATCAAAATCATATATTACATTCAATTAATAATTGAGTAATTTAAAACATTCTTAATTTGCAAGTTATTAAATTGATAATTAGCTGTTAGGATCTTCGATCTACATGTGTGATTTCAAATTCAATGCGGGAGATATAATCAAATTAGAACTATGTTGTACTTAAATTAAAACTCCAGAAATTAATTCGGTTAGCAAATAATACGATACTGAATACATACTTTAAATAAGTCACACTTATATTTGAGCATGACGTCATTGTATCGTATCTGAGCAGAATTTAGATTTAACATAATCAGTGCACGCGTTTTTTTTTTTTTAAAGACCGCTACATTATAAGTTTTTATACACATGGTAGAGATTTTGGCGCGAAATGTAACTTAGCAACCAATATTAGCGCTGAAATGAATATTTATTACATAATTATTTTTGTTATAATTTAGACTCGGGAGTCGGAACGTAGGTAACAATAAATACAAAGCAATTTTTGTTTTTAATAAAACGAAACCAAAGACGTTATTCTTGTACATTTTTTTTCATAAAAAGCAATTCGTATAAAGTCGCCAGTATCATTTTACTACTAATAAAAAAAATATTAATTTCCGAAATCTTTTCTAGGGTTTTCTTAAACTATTGCCACAGAATAATAGCTTTCAAAATAAAAACGTGTTCCATTTTCAAATTTATATGAGAGTGATTAAGTCATACATGACTTAGTGTATTCCGTGGGTGTATTTCCGTCAGGGTCAACAGCCATTGCAAGGCGACACAATGACCACATGTCCACCATTATGTGAATTAAGTATTGATCAGTTTAGGAATTTATGACTGGTTTTTTAACAATTTTTTTTCGTATTTATTTTAATGGTATCTTAAATAATGTTTTTAATTTTCGTTTTAATGATGTATTTTTAGTATGGTATTGATATTAATAATTTTTGAACAAGAAAAGTAATTGAAAAAGTTTTTAATGAAATGAATTGTTTTGGATACTTGTTTGATGTGGCTCTTAAGTTTTTTCTGTATGAATTTTTTAGTGTAAGATAATTGAAAATGGATGAGAAACCAAAAAATTATTTGTACCCCTAAAGTTATCACTTTTTTATTAAAATAGTTCTGCAATTTGAGTATTTTATTTTGTAATTTGTGTTTATTTTTTATTTTTATTATTATTACACTTTTATATAATCATTGATTATTAGAATAAAATTTATTAAAAGGATATTATGCTTTTCAGTGTCCTAATTTATAACTTAGAATGTGAAGTAATTGAAAAAAAATAATTATTTATTACTTAAATAAAAATTACATATAACCAAATAAATGTTTACTAAACACTAGTTTGTAAATTTTTATTTTATGACATTTTGAATTATTTAAGTATGTTATAATTAAATTCATAAAGCTATAAAAACAAAACTACATAGATATTCAGACGCTATTTCTTATCCATTACTGAAAAAAAACCTTGATACAAATAGATTGGGATTTAGGTCATCTAATGTGTTATTTACACATAATATGACATCTTATATACATAAATACACATTTTAATACATATGTATACTTAGATACTAGATGAATTGCTATTTTTATAATGTTTACCTATAAATTAATCACCTTGAAAAATTATTGATTCAGCGTTTCAATTAATGTTGTCGAATAGACATTGTACTCTTTTAGGCTACACATTTGTTTACAAACAAATCTATGACATAGTTGTGGTGATTGCATTTATATCTTATGTGTAGATGTTAGTATGGGTGATAAATATATAGAGGTATGATGTCACTATCGAAGGCGAGGTCGCGCGCCCGTCACACCGCGCCGAACCAAAACGACGACGATGACGTAAACTATGCTAAGGTTAGCCGGAAGAAATATTAAATATATTTCAAGAATACTTTTAGTATACACATGTTTCTATTTAATCTAAAATTGTATGGAATTAATACTGTATGAACAGTGGAAGCTTACCGCTTTTTCAGGTCATCGTTTTCCTCGTACAGCCTCTTCAAATCAATCTCCAGTTTGGCTTTCTCTCTGGACGTATCATCTAAGAGTTTTCTGGCATCTTGTAATTCATGCTCATACATCCCCTTGATGTTGGAAACCTCACGTGTAACCACTTCCTGTGTTGTTTGTATCTCTCGGCGTAATCCTGAATTCTCACTTTCGAGCTGGCGAACCTTATCGATATAAGCTGCGAGGCGGTCGTTAAGATTTTGTAACGCATCTTTTTCTTGTAGACGAGTATGTCTTGTTGGACTTAATGGGCTATTGGGCCGACCGGCTGAACTAGAAGGGCGGCTACCAACAGGAGTGCTTGATTGAGGAGGGCTTTGCACTGAAGACACAACACTTATATTGGTCGACGATGTTACAGTCTTTTTTGATTTTGATGACATTTTGCAATGCTTTTTCAGTCACAAAAACAACAAATACACAATAAGATTTGTAATACGAGACAACTAATGAAGCCAAGCGTAGAACACAAATTCTTCAACTTTATAAACCCAAGCTAGAATGGTCACGTGACCGTTGAGTCATTTCAAAATGTTACCATTACGAAAACCGGTCAAAGTGAATTATCGGTTAATCAAATCATACAAGCTAAAATATATCGATAATACTTTTATTTATATAAAAAAAATATTTAAAAATCTCAAAATAAAATAATAATTATTAAAGGTCAATTGACTTATATATCTTTAAAAATGCTTGTCAACTTTTGTTCCAAAAATCTTCCGATTCCTAAATTTCTCCCAAAATGTCAAATCATTATTAATGGAAAATAATAATTGTCATGATAATTTGTAATGTGCAAGACTTAAATAAAATTAAGGTGTATTTTAAATAGAATTATAACAAATATGAACATTTTTAAAGTGCGTTTTTAGCTGACATTAAAGAATTAGTGGGTATCGTGATTGGTATATTAATTTTTATGTTGTAGCCCTATTACACTGATTTATTTTCATGAAATTGCAGCTATGTATTCATTCGAAGGTGATTTTAGGCGCAAGCCTCAGCAAAATTTAGCAGGTGCTAGTGGTCAGAGAAAAACTGATAGAAACACTCTTATACTACAAACACAACAACAGAGGCAAAAGAGAGAGGTTACATGTTTTTCCTTTTTCTAATGAGATTTACGATCTTATACAGACGAAATCTTAATTAAAAATAAAATAAAAAATTACTTTGCAGGAACATAGAAAAAGATTACACAGTACTATAAAAATTCAAGCATATGTTCGTAGCTATCTCACAAGAAAGCATTTTAAACAGAGTGAAAGAGATGAATTTGATATTATCTTTCCTAAAGCAAATACTGATGATCTTGGATTAATTTCATCACTTTTATCAAAAATATTATTTTTTTATGACGTCAAGAAGGATTGTTCTAGATTGGTAATAATTTTAATTATATTGTTTACGCAGAAATCTCACCTTACTTAAATATTCCGAATAAACACTCAAATAGTTGTTGGGACTAGTGTCTATTATGTGAAATAAATATATAAAAAGTCAATAAACCACAGTGTTTGTGATCCAAGTGCATTTCCAAAAAACCATTCATACTGTGCTTGTTTAATTTTATTCTTGCATTGGTTAATACAAATGTATATGGGCCGATCTCATCAGTAGCCCACTCTCCGACTGATGGTATCAGAAATATCCATTAGTAATTAAAAAATAGACTAAAATATTTCAAAACTCATTAACAAAGGCTTTGTAAAGGTTATTTTGTATATGTGTTAAATCTCAGTTTATATGTTATTTTCTTAGGTGGCCCTATCTCAACTCTTGCTTAAGCAATGGAAGAGGTTATTTCAGTTGGGAGATTGCTCTGTGCAAATACGCAGACTTTTAGCATTGCACTTACATTTTTTAAGAGATGATAGTGAGGTATGTCTTTTCAATCTTAATTTTTTTTTAAAGAAATCATTTCATATTTATTTTTGAGTCATATTTAAAATAAATGGTACCTTTTTATATTTTTTTATATATAAATCTACATTTCAGGTTCCACTAGCTGTACCATTACGAATGTTTGAAGTATTTACCTCTGTTAATTCTCTTAAAGAATTTAAAAATCATGATGAGTCTCTCAGTATAATTGGAAAATCATTTCTATATTTAGTTAAAAGAGGTATTATATTTTAATATAGTCTTCAACAGAAGTATATTTGCCAGAATTGTTTGAATATAATATTATCTTAATTTTATAGGCTATTTCAAGGATTTATGTATCCTGTTATGTCAAAAAACACCACCATTATACGGGCCATCCCCGAATCCACCTACTCCGTTATGCGGAGCTCTTTTCGATCTTATCCAAAGGCCGCTACAATTAACCACACATATCAAAGATTCAGAATATGAGTAAGTAATATACATATACAAATTCTGTATAATTTAATGAGGATATTTATCAAACAATCTTTAATTATTTATTAATGTACCTAGCCTGAATGTAAAGAATTTGTTTTCTATTAAAATATATATGTAAATGTTTGTTTTCAGTGACACAATAATGACTGAATTCACAGCCGCCTACCTCTGTAACCATTATCCTGAACCAGTTGAGATGTACATACTGCCAGCTTTAATTCATGATAAGAAGTTCCCATTTCTATCACTACTACAATGTCTGACCGATGAAAAGTTTAGTACTGGCAGAATTGTTAATGATTCCTGGTTACTGCATTCCATTTTAATATTAGAACCTATTGAGTTTGGTAAGTGAGAGCTTTTAAAAGATTTGCTCAAAGCAATAAGTTTATAATGTAGGATATTTAGCACTTGAATGTAACTTGAGAATTGTGTATATTAAAAATTACAATAAATATTTTAAGATATCTCTATTGTCAAAAAAGGGACTAATTATTATTAAATGAGTTTATTATTGTTCACGATGTCTTTATTGTACATATTTTATTTTCATTTCAGTGAAACACTTACGAGAGATTGATAACCCGAGACTGTCAAACAATAAGATTGTATTAGCATATATGAAAATACTAGCCAAATTAACAGTAAACGTCTGCAATAAGCAAATAACATATGAATATGAGGATTCCCTGTACAGCCATGAGACAGCCGCTGATAATGATGATTCAAGTGATAGTGAGAATGAACCGAACCCAACCTCAGTCAGAGAACAGATGTTACTGACGAAATGTATAGAGATATTGAATGAGACGGATAAATGTGTTATGATGACTTGCTCACAGATTAAAGAGAATGACTTGAGTGATGAGTTCCTTGACTATATGTCGAAGATATGTCACAATCTGCTTCTGAGTCACAGGATGGCGTTGCATAAATATCGGTAATTTTATTAGATATTATTATAAGTTATACCGTTGCTTTCTTATTATGTTATATAGTATGTTTGTTTGTTACTCATTAACATACTAACTTTTGCATCAATTGTTGATGTTCTTTTTCTAATTCCTATGAATTTTTAAACCAGGGGTTTCCAAACTTATTTCGTCAATTGCCTACTTGGATGATAAATTATTTTTTAGCGCCCCCATTTTGTCACTTATTAAAATTCCAAATCACCCCAAAGGCTTATGTACAAGGAACCTCATTATTTTTGGGTCTCTAACCACCCCCTTCACGCCTGCAACACCCACTCTGGGATGGCTGATTTGTTTAAACTTAGTCTAAGTGTGGAAATTTGTTACACTTAATATGATACTCATATTGATGTCTGAATATTTCAGATTGTTATACACATTAGCCTTCACTCTGCTTGTTGATTTGTTTAAACTTTGTTTAAATGTGATTTTTTTTTCACTTAATAAAATACTCATACTTATACAGGGTGACTGGTGAATTACTATCGATATTTGAGGACGTGATATTTGACGATCATATATGACAAAATAAAAATTAATATAACATAAATATTAATAAACTTCTAAGTAAAGTTAACCAAAAGTTATGTAATTAATTACGCATCGTATGAACACCCTACAGATTAGGTATACACACACACATACACACACTCGCGCGCGGCGGCGTGTTGTTGTATCAGCACGCCGCCGCGCGCGTCCACACTTGGAACACTTGGAACGTGAACACACTTTACTTATTTATACGGAAATTTGGTTAAAAATTAAGTGCCTATTTTTTTTACATAATTCGAATGAGAATCATGTACCGAGTATGCTCCTTAAATATTGATAGTAATTCACCAGTCACCCTGTATATGAATATTTCAGATTGCTCTACACATTAGCCTTCAAACCAATCTTCCTCCGTGGCCTGTGGCAATGGTTGAGCAGTATGAGTCACGAGTCGTCGTTCGGTGGTTCATCCACTCCGCTGTTGTCAGCGCTCTCTCGCGGCATGGGAGCTGAAACATCAGTCATCGGCGTCCACAGATTATTGGCGCCACTGGCTGTGTTTTGTGAACTCTTCTCCCTACTCATCGGTACATTACATGACACCGAATTCTTTACGGACACCGATGGAGATGAGAAAATGAGTAGTAAGTAAACTGATAATAAAATATTTTCTTTTAATGGCAACATGTCTTTTATATATGTTTTAAATCTTAGCAAAGTCCTGTGTTAAATTTAAAATTGTTGTTCAGTGGAAATCATACCATTATAATTAAAATACTAATTGGTTTAAAATTAAATTACCATTTCAAGTCCCATATTAGGTATAGAAAAAAAAAAATTTAATACTTGTAATGTGTGAGACGTGTTTAAAAAACTACCAAAAAAACCTTAATTATTGATTCCAGTGCATTTGTTTATTCCCAAAAAAACTACCATGTTAGAAAATATAATTTATTATTTGTTTCAGTAACGAGTACATCCAGTGGTACTAGCAGAGTGCACGCGTTCGACTTCTCAGAGCTGGGCGGGTTGTGTCGCACGTTGAAGCAAGTCTGCCTCGGTCTGGTGGAGCTCGCGTACCCTGAGTCTAGACCGGCTGTAGTGGGGCACTACAAGGACGCGGTGGGGGGACACCACGATGTAGAGGACAGGAATCAGACACCGGCTTGGGCTCATTTGTTTAAGGTGACGAGTATAGACCATAAATAGATAGTCCATATATTATATTACAATATCTAGTCATATACTCTGGTTTCTAAGCAGAAAAATAGGTAATTAACATCTTATATGGGTTGAAAGTTGCAAGAATAGATTTTGCATTCGAAAGAATTAGGAAAATCAGATACGTGTACACAGATGGCGCTGTTGCACTAGTTGTAGAGGTCATATGTTTTTTACATGTTCCAATAATCTCTAGGGTCACATCGAAATCAATTTTTTCCTTCAGATGTTTATGGGTTATTAAGACATCATCAGAAGGATCGGCTGACTACTTATGTCCTCATAATATACAAAAGTATGTTTTCTTGATTACAAAAGTTTTGCAAACAATGAGATAATTATGAAACTATACTTAAGTTTCCCCAGTTGACCAAAGATCAATGACCTATGGTATTTCTAAAGCCAAGAACTGTACTATCAGACAGATGACTAGTTATATTTAATAAATGTATTTTTCTATACTATTCAATGATTTTATTCCAGGTGTGTACGCAGTTGTTGCGTTCGCTGTACGCTCGTGACGCCCGCCTGCAGTTCGTCGGTGGGACGAGCGTGGGCAGCGTGGGCGGTGTGGGCGGCGTGGGCGGTGCTTGGGTGGCGGCAGGCAGCGCGCCCAGTGAGACCGAGGCTGCACTCGCAGCTGTTCGAGCTCCTCGCACGGCCAGACCTTACAGGGCCTATGTACCTAGACTGGCTCGAGCTGAACAAGGTCAGTAACTAGTGGATATTGGGTACGCCTTCAAATATGTATATAGTCGGGGATAGTGTAAATCCGCGTAACTAGCATTGGATAATTCCGCGTATCTGCTTAAGAAGCAGATTATCAGAAGAAAGTTGAAGCTGAAATTAATAATTAAATTTTATTTTATTTTATTTATTTTGAACGGTTCACACAACAGATTACAACTAAATAAGCGAATAATTAATGAGTAAATATTATAAATGAACTGAGTTGCAATCCAACAATTATGCGAACACAGATTATATACAAAGTATCTCACTTATAATAAAAGAAAAAAAAAAAAACACATCAGCACTCGAAAATACGTAACACAACACACTTACAAATGAAAAATAATGAAAAATAAAAAATTAATAATATAGATTCGATCACTATTCCTGGCTGTTAACCGAAACCAATCGTTTTTTAAATAGCTTTAGGTTTCTGTTGAAAACGTCGATACCATCCAACCCGTCGTCCTCAAGAGAGACCCTATTGTAAGCGTGACACATACGTCCGATAGGATTGTGATACGAGATATTGTTATTATAAACATCCAGGCTAAATGTTCTGGGGTGTCGGAATTTAAAGTTGATGTTTATATTTATGGAGCCTAGAAGCGTGGGTGAATCAACGACACCGTGAATAATTTTGTGCAAATACACTAAGCTGTTACAATTGCGACGCATTTCAAGCGTTTGCAGTCCGAAACGGTTGAGCCTGTCGTTATAGCTTTCAAGTGTACGTCCGTACCGATGGCGAGAACTAAGCAATCGCAAGAACCTCCTCTGTACTGCCTCGACCTTATCACAGTGTATTTTGTAAATTAATTAATTGTGAAAAAAATACCTTTAAAGTCATTAATTTAGAAAATATTTCAGCACGGTCATAGTATGCTACATTATGGTAGAGTCTTACCTTTTGTAGGTCTTACCTTTATAAGTCATGAAGTAGATTTTGTGTTAATTTCTTTATATTCCCCAGATGAAGGGCCGCCTCTTACAATCAAGGAGCTGAGGACCGTCACTATACTGAGAGAAATACCGTTCGTGGTGCCGTTCTCAACACGAGTTCTTATATTCCAAGGACTTTTACTTAGGTATATTAACACTTTCCTTATTTATTTTTGTTATTGCATACATCACAAGAAAGTATATATTTTTACAAAACAATATTTAATGAGATCTAAGACTTTCGTGAGTATTCATTAAAACTAAACTAATATTTTTGGATAATGTCTTATAAATCTCGTCTGTCCGTGATATAAAATAAAATTATATTTATTTGCTTTATATTTTCGTTAGTTAATTATTTTGTTACAATACTTTCAGAGAGAAGCACGACCATTGGTATGAGATGACAAACTTCAACGAGGGACCTTCAATAATCATCAGCGTGAGACGGACCCATCTGTATGAAGACGCGTTTGATAAACTCAGCCAGGGTTAATAGCAAATTATATTACTATAACAATAATAATAATTATATTTATTTGTATGAATTTTTTTTAAATGTATCAACAAAAAATCTCATATCACCTTCAAATAATACAATTATTTTAGTGTTTTTTAATTTTTAAAATTATGTTTATCGACTTAGTCCTAAATACAAAATCGATAGTATTAAATTTATTAAATGTTATAAATAAAATATATATTGATGGAATCAATACGCAATAGATCTTATACAGACATTATGGTTAATTAGACTATTTAAATTGTTAGCAAGTTACTCAAATATTAAATACTAGTTTTCTACCCGCAGCTTTGCCCGCGTGGAGTTCGGTTATATCGCGTTTCCAAGAGAACCTTTCAAAAGTGTGGGATAAAAACTATCCTATGTTCTTTCTCAAGGTCAACTCTATCTCTGTACCAAATTTCATTACAATCAGTTCAGTGGTTTAGGCGTGAAAGCGTAACAGACAGACAGAGTTACTTTCGCATTTATAATATTAGTAGGGATGTAAAGATGTATTCAAGCAAACATTATTTTAATACCTATAAGATCTACATATTTTCTGCTTGCCCTTATTTAGACTCTATCTATTATTTTCGTATTACCCTTTTTCTGACATATAAATGGTGTTAATGTCCTTATTTTCTATTTATTTCAGAGCCAAATTTGAAACTTAAACTCCGTGTCCAGTTAATAAACCAAGCGGGCGCCGAGGAACCCGGTGTTGACGGCGGAGGACTGTTCAGAGAGTTCCTCTCAGAGTTATTGAAGTAAATTATATGTTTTATAAATATACTTATAGCAAATAATTCTATTATTAAATATATTTGTGAATAGAGAGAGAGAGAGAGAGAGAAGAGAGGGAAAGAGAGAGAGGGAGAGAGATGTATATACAGCGTGTTCTAAAAACTGTGTCAACCCCCTTAACTGCGTTATCAGTATCGAAAATGGAACACAATCAAACAACTTGCATTTACAAACTCTTCAATAAAAATAATAAAATTAAATGATTATTATATGTAGAGTAACAAAATGTTTGTACCCACTGGTATAACACGGTTTGTCCTAATAATACAACATAGTTAATTTACCTGAAGAAGTTCCAAATTATAATATTGATTAATAATATTTATTATTTTTAAAAGTTATTTTAAATGAAATTATTTTAATGTGAAAAGCATAACTATTTATAGCAATATTGAAAATATCGATAGAATATTTATCGATATACCTAATTTTTAAACTTGCAAATCTCTATTCGAAAAACTAACAAAATAGTAATAATAACGCCGGCGGCCCGTCGCCTGCGGTGAATGGCCGCGCATGCGCCGTCGCGACTATACGGTGCCTTGACCTTGTATGGGTCAGATGTTTGAAACATTTTTTCAAATAATGTCGATTTAAAACTTATTTAGCCTATGCACTGTAACTGACCTCTGCTTGATATTTTTTAAGTTATACTATTTTTTATAATAAGCTTATACTTATATGTATACATGCCTTCAAGGGTTTACACAGTTTTTAGAACACCCTGTATAAATAAACATAAAGATCTGTAATTCACAACTGATGATGGCTAATGTACTTTATAGATTAAAAAAATATGCCGTTGATTTTGGACGCTTCGTCTTTATCTTAACACTTATTGTGATATATCGATTAGAACCAAATCAATTAATATTGTATCATACAACATAGTAACATGTTCAATACACATATCAAAACTTTGTTAATGTAACAAACAACGACAAAGTCGCGAGTATCAGTTAGTATACTGTTATATATCTGTTGTATATATTATATATGTTATTATATTATTTCCAGGTCAGCGTTCGATCCCAACCGCGGTCTGTTCCGCCTCACCAAGGACAACATGTTGTACCCCAACCCTGGGGTCCATCTCTTGTATGATGATTTTCCAATGCACTACTACTTCGTTGGACGAATGTTGGGAAAGGTATGTCCTATCAGGATAATATTTATATGTATATGATATAGATTAGCTTTTTAGTACTGTAATTTGATATTCTGTAGTAGTTTGGAAGTTCATATATTTTTATGGTAGTTAGATAGAATAGATAGAATATACTTTATTGTACACCACAAACAGTAAATTTTACACGGAAAAAAACTCATCAACGAATCAACTAGTAACACGGCAGTTACTCCTTGATTCGTTATAAAATTATTCCTGTTTTAAAGTAATAAGGTATATGAAGTATGAATTTATATTAATATGAATCAAATTGTCTTTTGACAAACGGTTGAGTGGACTTTTCCGTAAGAAATTGATATAGGATGTGAGTCTTGAGCGTTTCGGCGTTTTTATTTAAAGTTTTACTTTTATTTATGTTTTAATTTTATTTATGAAAACCAATTTACAAATAATAAATCAAATTAGTTTTTTTGTGCCATAACTAATCGATTAAGTAATTGTTCAAAATTTGTCACATACTTTATTATCGTTTCTTTTGGATTCAATTGTGGAGAATGCTTTTTACATTTAGTAGGTCAAATAAATATGTTTGTTAGTGACATTGATGCCAGATATCACGAACTATTAAGTGTTTTTTCTAGCTTAATATTATTTCCAGGCCTTATACGAGAATCTTCTAGTAGAGCTGCCTCTGGCGGAGTTCTTCCTAGCCAAGTTATGTTCTACTAGAGAGCCGGACGTTCATGCGCTAGCGTCCCTGGACCCAGGCTTGTACCGAGGCCTGCTGATGCTGAAGGCTCACCGCGAAGACGTGTCCGACCTGGGACTCGACTTCACTATACTCAGTGACGAGCTTGGAGAACAACGGGTTAGAAAAATTTCAATGAGATCTAAGATTTTCGCGAGTACTCATTTAAATGAAACTAATATTTTCGGATTTTACTTCGCGTGTTTATGACATCTCGTCTGCCCGTGATCACGGTTGCTGAAAAGTAGCCGAAACGTCGGGAGTGTGTGTTTGTAATCAAAAAATAATATAAAATCTGAAAATATTAATTTCATTTAAACTGAAATTTTGTTCCGTTACAGGGAATTTGATAAAAATATAGATTTATTAGTTATGGATTAGTATAATAATTTTCTGCTACCCTCATTTTATTATATACAACTTGCAATGTAATCTATTTTTGATGTATCATAATGACATTATTATCGATATATGTAGTATTTTGCACTAATCATACCTTTCTTGCATAAGGAATATATAGTATAGATATTTTGTCTTTTAGATTGACGAATTAAAACCTGGTGGTGCAAATATACCGGTAACAGCGGAGAACAGGATAGAATATATACATCTTGTTGCGGACTATAAGCTCAATAGGTATGAAATTCACACTCTAGTAATAAAATATCCATATCACTATAACATAAAAATACTTATGTCTTTTTATTTTTCCTTTCAGACAAATAAGGTCGCAATGTATAGCGTTTAAACGCGGTTTAACGTCTGTGGTAAACGCGGAATGGCTGCGAATGTTTTCATGTAGAGAACTCCAGTTGTTAATATCTGGCGCGGAGGTGCCAATAGATTTGGTCGACCTGAGAAGACATACGCAGTATGGAGGCAAGTACACAAAAATATATATAAATGATGTTAGTCTAGAAAACATAATATTATTATTAAAATTATTGACGCCTATTTCTGATGAATAGCAAAAAAGGAGTATTATTATTATGTCTTCTTCTTCTTCTACCTGGCATTTTTTCCCAGCTATAGCCAGGGTCTGCCTAACATGTTGTGAATGGTTTTGGCTATTTGTTTTTATGACCGGCCGCCTGCCTGACATCAACCCTCTTTTGGGAATCAACATTAATCAGTGATGTCTAAATATTCTTAGAAAGTACATATGATTCGTAAAAATCACATTGGTACTTGCCCGGCCCAGGATCGAACCCGTGCCCTTGGCAACGAGAGGCGGGCCCTTTAACCACTGAGCCACCACTGACTAAGTATTATTATTATGTATGTATATATTATTATTATGTTTTCTTCTGAAGGTGGTTTCTCCGATTCTCACCCCACTGTGCAGTGTTTCTGGAAGGTTCTGGAAGGATTCACGGATCACCAGAGACGACAGCTGCTCAAGTTTGTCACGAGCTGCTCCCGACCACCGCTACTAGGCTTCAAGGTAATATATGATTAAAACAATAGCCTTCTAAAAGCTATTAATTAGAAATATACTTACTTACAAGTGGGTCATAAGACTTTTGCAAAAATGAATTTAAAAGAAACTAATATTTTCGGATGAGATGAGTCATCTAATCTACTCTTGATCACGGTTGCTGAAAACTGACTGAAACGTCGCGAGTATATAGTTTTTATCCGGAAATATTAGTTTCATTTATATATTACTAGCTTTTGCCGTGACTTCGTACGCGTGGAATAGTGACTTCCGGCAGATTTTTGGGTCTTCCCACATAGTTCCCGTTCTTGCGGGGTTTTCGGAATGGTCGAGTTCCCGTAGAGTTTTCAGGATAAAACCTATGTTTTTTTTTATTCACAATGAAGTACTATTAACCAACAACATATTTATTTGTTTATTTGAATAAAGTTTAATATTATTATGTTGATACAACTTAAACAAATTATTTCGACCAAATTAGGTACCATAAAAACGGGTTTTGTGAGTTAATCTTAAAAGATAGACATATACTGTCGCGGACTGTTTTTTAGATCATTAAAAGAGCTATTATTCTTTAATACATATTTTTTGTGTATCTTGAACCGTTTTCACGGCGCATGCAACGGAAGGCTTCAAAGATGAAATAATTTCTCCCGTTTTTTACACATTTACCACTATATCTTTGCTCCTATTGGTCGTAGCGTGATGTTATATAGCCCACAGCCTTCCTCGATAACTGGACTATCCAACACAAAAAGAATTATTCAATTCGAACCAGTAGTTTCGGAGATTAGCGCTTTCAAACAAACAAACAAAGTCTTCAGCTTTATAATATTAGTATAGATGACATGAACAGTTTGCCTGTTTAGGTGCAAAATACTGATCTGCTAATTGAGTTGTTATGTTCTGAGATAATTGACTGTCCAGTATAATATATTTAGGATTCTAACAAAATCCTTATAAAAATATAGTTTTCTTATAAAGCCAGTACTTTTAAATAACAATAAAACCTTAACTATGTAGTGCAAACTAATTATTAACTTATGCCAAAACGTCTTAAATGAGTTAAATTCTATTTACAATAGTACAAGTTGTGGTCACAACATACTTTCCCGCGTTAATAGAGAACAAGCCAAGCGTCATAGCTTTAATATCAGATATTAATTTAAAGATTCGGTTCGAACAAAAAGTGTGTTCCCTAAATATATAGTCAATATAATCGTTTCCCCAGGACCTGCAGCCTCCATTCTGCATTCAGTCAGCGGGCGGGTCTGACCGGCTGCCCTCATCCTCCACATGTATGAACCTCCTCAAGATACCCGAGTATCACTCTCAAGACGTGCTCGCTGATAAACTACTGTACGCCATACAAGCTGGCGCCGGGTTTGAACTCAGCTAAGTGAGTGAGACAGTTTCTAGTATCGTTGAACTAAGAGGATAGATAATAAACATTATTATTCATAGTCAGCTTAAATGAGAGATGTATAGAAATGGACTAACAAGGCGGTTAAGTTGAAATATTTCAGGTCCTTGCACCAAAAAAATCGACAAAATTTTTTTGTTTTGATCCCGTCACTTATTACATTAATGTCCGATAGACAACCACATACGTACGTATATAAACATTTAATGTGGTCTTGAGAACTTATATATTTTTATTTTTTACGGTATGAAAATTATTTGATTATTTTTTTATGGGATGATCAAATAATTCCCAAGAACAAACAATGACGTTTGACCTATACATACATCTCTCAAAAATAAATTAAATAGATTATATATTTACTTGGATCACAAAAATATTCATACGTACCAACATAGCAAAATGTGACAAAAACTCGATTGTACGTTTCCCGCGCAATTTTAGGTCATGTTATTTTTTTGCAGATGTCATATAAAACAACAGAGTATGTAATTTGTTTTTTTTTTTCAGATGTCCTCATGGCGGCCACAGTTTTATACTATTCTACCGAACATACTTATAGAAAACGTCAATCTCAATGTGATACCATAGGCTCCTAGTGTAGATGTAAATAAATATTGTGTTGGTTTCACGTCTGTACTTTTATTTATTTATTTTTAAATACAGCTATACTTTAAATCGATTTTATTACTAGACGCATTTGGATAACCTTAATTACATATTATATGTATGTAAATAAATTAGGTGATTAGTGGATCGAATTTAATTATGACTCTTGATGTACTGAATATTTAGAAAGTGTTGAAATATATAACTATGCGAGTTATTCGTAGTTACTTTGTTCTTGGATGTACTAGCTGTGTTCGTTTCTTACATTTCCTATTGAAATTGTCGAATAAAGTTGTATAGACTTGATGAAGTTTTCATATATTTTATTACCTCTAAAAATATTTTAAATATCTCCATTAAATTTTCAAAATATTATGATCCCTCGATTAATTATTATGAAGAATTGTTTATTATCAAATTTAATGACAGTAAGAATATGCGTGATGCAAATAATTTCATGATTTAATTATAAATAAAAAAATTGCCTGAAAATCAAGTGGGATTATAACTATTAAGTAAAAGATAATTATCATAGAATACGCGTATTATTTACGAATTCTCATCGTATAACGAATTAAAAAAACTAACCACAGTCACCGATGCAACACTGGGAGGATCGTAATCTCGTTAGTTATACAAACCCGCACAAAAAACATTTTAACGCTTAGGTTAACATTTAATATATTACACATCTAATAACTGAGCATGAACTTGCGCGGGCTCATCAATAACATACATTAATACTTGGTAATGTGCATTCATTGGTTCAAATATGGCCGCCATTCGCCGCCATTACCGTTTTGACAGTTGCAATCAATCAGCGTTGATGAATGAGTGTGCGGTAGCAGCTTTTACTTACGATCCTAATTCTAAAGCCGATACTGTATTGACGATCTCGGGCTCTTCACACGAGGCGATTAATATAGAGGGAAAAGCATATATTATATAATTAATACAACTTTTTATTGAAAACTGAATTTGTCATAGTGCAAAAACCGTATTACTTTTCATTAAGAGGCAATTCTTTAATTATTTTCATGATGTTAATGAATAATAGCCTGCCGGTGCAAAAGTGTAAAGCGTGTGATTCTTATTAATGTTTTATCTCGCCTGACGAAGGTAGAAGCTGACAGTTCATGGCGTGAGTCATTGCGGGCCACCGCGCTCGCGCAGTCGATTCAATTCTGTACCAATGAAAGGATTAAACGATTGCCTGTCAGCCCTAATACGTACTGAATGATTCTACTTTATATTAATGCCATAAATAATATTTAGTTCAACAGAGAGAAATAAAATAATAGCGACCCCCGTATGATTGAATGCTCTCTTCATTTGAGGATGACTGTTGTGATTTATAAAAAAAAATCTGACGACCAGACATTTGTCAAAATATTGTATCACGAGTTGCTTTGTGCTTATAAATCTTATAAAATTTTATTGGAAACATATTTTTATAACAGGCTATAAAAATTCATAAAGAGTATTATAAAAAGCGAGTTTAAATGTGTCTGATCGATGACCTAGGATTGAAGACGGTCTCTGTAGTCTCTGTGTGACGGCATACAACACTTATTATGCCGTTCACGCGACTTTTACGTCCGTGACAATTGTCCTGCCAATTTAGTTCGTACATCGAATTCGCAACATTGTTCACCTTATTCCAAACACTCCAACGTTCCCTGGCTGTCACTAGGCAACACTATACGTTAACAGAATAATATATATAAAAAGTTTTTTAATTTGGACCATTGTTTTCATTCAAAGGCTTTATGACGTCCAAAACGAGAACTATTGAAAAGGACGTATTCTAAAACTTATTTACAGAAATCATTCGTATTATTAAGTGTGAGATAGCAAACAGCATTTCACGCGTAGGTATCTTATAACACAAACACTGCCAACGTCTTCTTAGAATATTATTTATAATGCAAAATGACTTAATTTGTATTGTTAAAACGAAATAAAGGCGTCAAGTGTCTTTAACAAAGCTCAGCTCTAACAATTGACTGCGAGGGTGGTCGAACGGTAACATTGTTGGCAGCCGCTTCTCGGAAGGTCATCGGTGTAGGCTTTGTATTGAAGGATTTAGACTGAGAACCCGTGAAGATACCGCAGAATCCGTACCCTATAATCAAAGGTAACTAACCTATCGATGGGCGTTGAGGAAGTTTATTAAAACAATAGATTGTGTAAATACATAGAACTTTTCAATTACATAATGGTTTTTCTTTAATTTATATTTTATATATAACATAACCCTTTTATTTTAAAATATTTTATTTACACTTATTATTTTCATACGTTAAAAATCATCATAATTTCGGCTTACTTTAATGAAGATTTAGTATATTTAAGCTAAGTAAATCTAAAAATAAATAAATATATTTTAGTATCAATAACCTAGTATCGTTATGCTAAATTATTTCCAGGTTTCTGAGTTGTATTTATTCACGTAATTCCGTGTGGGCGAAACTGCGAGGTTTCGTACGTGATCATGGACATTGTATGCATATTTTATGCTCACAATACATGCATTCATTTCTAGCCTACGTTCTGATTTGAAAACTTGTCGCGACGTTACTGCTCTCCAAGTCCAAGTATTCGAGCCAGCCTGATGTCTAGATTTCAAATGCCTATATTATTCCAGAATTTATAACAACGGAAATATGTTTCTCAATAAATTATACAAAATAACACATATATATGTATAACATAAGCACGAAATACTTATTGAATTCCAAACTAGAATAGATAAAGGAAAAGATTTATTATATATCTTGGAATAGAGTGGAATAATTATTAATTTGAAGCAACACACAGCTCATGTCATATTATTGGCTCATAATGACACTGCGTAAGATCCATGACGTTTAAAATGTATCGAGGCGACGCACTGAGGTTTGACAGACGGCCGGCTGCACTAGGTCCGATATGACGCGAGATAAATAATCGCTATCTGTTCCAATACCGGAGCGTACGCAATATCTTACAAATCTCGGCCTTATTCTGTCTGCCAGTTCCCAGCCCACAACAGACCACCCAAGACGACTATTCCTAAATACATATAAGGCGACTATCTGCTTATTATTTAGGTATACCTACCTACTCGCTCGCGTTGTGATTACAAAACTCAAAGCGACCTTTTATTTATTTTACGAATTGATATCACGATCGTGATAGGGAACACGGCGTCATGTTGTTTATAGAGGGGGAGGGAGGGAGTATACCTGAAAGAATATTCTTAGGGAATATTAAGTTATTAAGTATCGTAAATAATGTTGACAATTTTTTAACGTTCACTGGCGTATGAGTTTGAGTAAAGTCAGGTATTTTTTCATTCGATTGATAAGATTTTTTTATTTTCTTTTTGTTCTGATTTGTTTTATATTAACGATGTTTTGGTGAAGATTTTTCTTTACATTTTGTGTTATCATAAAATATAGGTGTAAAATTGATATATTTACAAAATAAATGAGATATGAATAAAAAAATAGGACAATTTTTCTCAAAAGTAGCAAATAAAATTGCAAATTTGTGTCGAGACTGGTAGATTTATTTAAACAAATGCCTTTGGCTGGTATGCCAAAATTAAAAGATACTAACAAGTAAGTGAACTAGCTTCAACTTATAAATTTTTGATGTGCTGCTAAAAAGTGTAAAATTGGCAACAACCACAATTTTTTTTAATAAGTCATCTCTATTGAGTCTTCTGCGATAAACTTAATAGATATTTTATAATTAATACAAAAAAATGCGTTAAAGCTAAAAAAGTACGTGTGATATCTACTCTACGTCCACTTGTGCAGGTATTAATTACTTATATTGAAAGCACTGCACAAAGCTCGAGTACCTTCATCGAGCCGAGTGCATTCAATGGCTCATTCAGACTAACTCTTGATGATATTATTTTTCCTTTCACGAGACGTGTCTCGCGCTCGACGTGGGTGGCAATTCGTTGTTTCTCAAAAATATAAAAACAACTTTAATCCCTTTTAGAAATTAGTCCCATAACACGACTCGGACATGTGTAACTTTTTTCGCCTTTAAAATGTCTCCTCATGATTTATGATAACGTTGACCAACTTGCGGTCTTGTAAAATATAAATTGAAGCTTACATTAAAAGGATTCGTTCGGAAACATGTATGCTATCTTTATTATGTTTGAATTCTTGATCTGTTACCATATGTTGCCTGAGAAATGTATATTTTTATGGAATGATAAGCATGTTTGCATTGCTTAGGACAGCGAAGGTTGCAGGTAGCGTGTAGCACAGGTAGCACAGGTAGCGCAAACAGCTACCGTATGAGTCCTGAGCAATCATTGCACTCCATGTTCATACAATGTGATGTGGAGACCATCATATATT